GTCTAGAGGCGTGCAACCTCTGATGTGTATAGCAATTCTAAGTTGCTTTAGATAAAAGCGTCAGCTAAATGAATAAATGTAAATACATAGTCACGGCAGTGAAGTGTTTTATTAAATTTCATCCTAGGTGGTATTAAAAAGGTCTTAAATTTAACTTCCTGGGGGTACCCTGTAATGATCTTATGGTTTCCACAACATTCAAGTAAGTAGTAAATGTTATTTAGCTCAAGAGATTCAAGTTATTATCATTTAACACCAAAACATCTCATTAAGATCTGGAATGTTGAACATTATTTAAAAAAAGAATGGAAAACAAATTGATTATCATTATTGCTGGTTAATTATCTGATCAAACAGTCAATTACTTTCTATTCAGCTTTATGCAAGATGTGCCTTATTTTGTGTCTGTTAAATGTAGAAATGAGATAAGATGTTTAAGGTTTTGATACTAATAAAGGGAACTTGAACTGTAATAATGGAGTTGTATTCATAGTTTTCAGGACTACTATCTGAAAATGGGAATTTTGTAAAGTTGACTAGTACAGAAGTAGTTTTGTTGAGTGAGTTTCCATTAGTATTTGAGTCAGTACAATTTAATTTTTTGAGTAGATTTCCCTCAGAGTATAAGTTGTGCACAATTACATTTATTGAGTAAAGAATAAGTGGAATTTAATTTTAATTCAAAAATTAATTCAATTTAATTTAGTATGCAGAAATTAAAGGTTTTTGAAAAAATGTATAATATTTAGGTTAAGGTTTACTCAAAAATATTACCACTACTATAAAAGTTTGAGGTAATCAGTTTCCACAAATATTTTGAGTATTCTGAACTTATTTGGGTTTACAGTGTGTCAATATAACAGTGTACTCTGTTTTCTGATATATACTTTGTCTAAGGTTTTGATGACAATTGAAAATGCACAAGGCTGCACATTTTCTGTATGGCATATCACTTTCACCAGTACAAACAATTATACATTGCAGGAAAGAGGACAGGAATGACAGTTACTCTCTTTAGTAAATTTCTTGAATCATCCCTGTTTGTATTTGTTGACAGACCATGTCATTGTGATGCAGAAAAGAAATAGAAAGTGCTGACTGGATAGCGCGACGGTAGAAATGACAAAATTAGAAATGTAAGTATGTGAAACATCCCTTAGGCTGATGTTTCTGTCTGTCAGGTCAGATATTCTTATCCACATCACAATGGCATCTTCATCAATTACAGTAAGGAGACATTTACAAATAAGTCTAAGACGTATAGAAGATATGATTGACTCACTCACTGTTTATACACCATGGTCTGTTACGAAAAAACATTTCGTTCAGCTGTATACTTTGATTTTGACGTCTTCAGCCATTTTGCATGTAGTGACTTATGTTATGAACTTGTGCCTAGATGTTTTTGGGGGGTAAAACTATTCAACAGAAACTGATATAATACATTGTGATCAGCATGATATAACCAATTGATAATGTAGGAAACGGCAGACAATTGTACATAATCATTTGCTTCAATGTGTCAAAGCATTTGCTTCACAAGTGATGAGATGATGTGGAGGTTGAACAAGTAGTTTCAGATCTGGGAAATGCACCAAAGTGACTGAGGAAAAACTTTACAGTATATTGTGTTGTAGTTTGTATTATGGCTTACAAAAGAGATTCCCAGCTGTCTTCATCTCCATCATCCCAATATCCACAAGAGACCCTGATATATGACCAATATAACAGGCAAATTTCTCATATGTGAAATTGTGCCTGCCAATAAACCCGATTCTGATTTGTTTCCGAAGGATGCCAGCTGAGGATAATTTTACTGTTGGATAAGATGTACTACATACATACACTGATAGGCCTCTGATTGGACTGATATCCACATTAAGAAACAACAGGCCTTTATCACAACAGACATTGACATGGCATAGCAGGAAAACACAGATTTAATTAATAACCTTAAATGATTAATCGGTTGCATTCAGTCAGGCGTTAGGTGTTCTCGGTCCAGGGCACTGGTATTGTGCATGCTGGCTCTTTGATATGGCGTACACACTTCAATGTGACAGAGCCATGATTAATGTTATTAATTACACCTATGCTTTCCCTACTGTGACAAATTAAAATGGCGGCTGTTAAAAACCTGAGCCTATTACACACTAACCAATTCCACACCTCAATTCATTGTATATCTTCACTTTATATTCAGCCTATTTTTTATATATAGGATAAGTTGCTTCAAGAGATCTTAAGGTTTTTCTTAAAGATCTGAACACTTAACATACCTCTGAAAACAAAATACATGACACATTTGTCTGAATGTGGGATTTTACTTTTGTTGTGACATTCCTTCTTTCACAGCAGACCTGGTAACATGTTGCAGTAGGAAAAGCACAGGTTTAAATAAAAAAATTTATGCTGGCTGAATTCCATTTAGCTGCTTCAGTTTCAGCATCCTGGAATTGTGCCTGACTGAGTGCACTTATGTGCAAACTAGTATGATGGTTTTGAGTCATGTCCTGGTTTTGATCATATTTGGGATATGGCTTAAAGTGGAACATGAGGTTTCAGATGTGTCTGAATCAATTTCTTCACCATCTCAGCAACTAATTTCTCTACTAACAGGATATTACATGCCACCGGGTCCTGATTTATATGGGAATACTACAGGTTCTCAGAACCTGGATTTGAGTCTTATAGGCCTACAGGTTTCAGAAACCAGGATAAGGTGTTTACATGCCACAGAGTCCTTGATTACTACAAGTAGTAACTCAGGTAGAAACTCCAGCTTCTCAAGGTTTATCCAGATTTCAGAAACCACAACATTTTGTTTACATATGCAACACATAACTAGGAACCATTAGGATGCCTGTCATGGCTTACTGGGATGCTTGAACAGAACATCGTCTATGTTATTAGTAACACCTGTGCTTTTCTTACGATAAATTAAAATGTCTGTTGTGAAAAAGGCCTGTTACAAGTAGCCTAAATACCTCTTTCAATAACTTTACCTTTTAATTAGCTTATTTTATTTTTATTTTATTACTTAATTAATTTCTTACATGATGATATTTCTGCATGAAGTTAATATCTCATCATACTTGTATGTTAGACAGTCATGGATGGATGGACAGGTAGGTAAATCAAGAATCAGAATCAGTCCCCCTTTTTTAATTTAACAAGAGGAACGTTCGGAGAACATAGATGAAATAGTGACACTGAATTTTAACCCCCTACTTCAGAAAAGTTAATATCATAAAAATGTTAATTGCTCCGCAGTTTAGTTATGTGGCAATGATGCTTCCAATTAAAATACCATCTACTATATTTAGACAACTCGATGAAATGGTAAAACATTTTTTGAGGAGTGGTAAAAAAACAAGAATTAAACTGAGAAAGCTATGTGCACATAAAGAGAACGGGGGGCTTGGCCTCCCTGATCTAAGATTGTACTGCCTGGCCTTTGAGATGGCTAAATTAGCAAGATACTGGCATGTTACGGAGGACAAAGCAGCCTGGATAGATATTGAAAAGGCAATATCTTCACCTTTTAGATCCATAGAAGTGAAAGGTGAAGTATTGTCCCAAAAAGGGTCTAATATTACAAACCCGGTACTTTTACACGCAAAGGATGTCTGGGTAAGAGCCCACAAAGTGTTTAAACTTACACACACACCATGCAAGGGTATTCATCGCTGTGGGGTAACTCTGGTGTCTGTATTGGGAAGAAGTCTATCTACTGGAAACGCTGGCACTCAAGAGGCTTGAGCATCATTGGCGATTTATTTGAAGATGGTGTGTTCCTATCATATAATAAACTATCAGAGCGATTTAACCCGGTGGGAAAAAAGGTAATTTTTGTAAGTATCTGTAGATAAGGAGTTGCATTACCTCTAAGCCGTACAACATTGCTGAGAATATTGTTACAAATTAGATGAAACTACCACCTGGAAAACATGAAGCCTCATACTTTTATAAATTGGCTAACTCCTCTCTAAGCAATGATTCTGAACATATGAAAATGGTTTGGCAGAAGGATCTCGGTAGGGAGACTGAATGTCATAAATGGGCAAAAATTGAGGCTGATTGTGGTAAATACGTGAGAGAAGCTAGGGTTAAATTCACTCAATACAAAATCTTACATAGATATTATTACACACATCTAGATTGTATAGAATGAAACTACTGAATGATGATTTATGCTGGAAATGTAAAGGTGAAATTGGAACCTTTTTTCACTGTATCTGGGAATGTGATCTGGTCAGGCCCTTCTGGACTCAGATTCTTGATACTTTAAGCAATTGGTTTGGTTCAGAAATCCCATCAAGTCCAGAACTGTGTTTATTGGGGGATAAATCTCAAATTCCCAGTATATCCAAAGGTGAGTTCTCTGTTGTCTCCGTGGGCACAATAACGGCCTGTCAGATTATTCTTAAGACACTGGAAGACAACATGTGCCCCACGAGTGGAGGACTGGGCCAGTGCAATGGCGGAAATGACATTTTATGAATGTATGCTGAACAGATTAAGTGATAACCTTGGGAGAGGGGCGACCCTTTGGGAAAGGTTTTGGGACTATGTAAAGGTTGGTGATAAATCTAAGATTTGTTTATTTACTTGGTTGTTTTAACGGAACCCTGTTATACTGTGATACTTTTGTAATGTGGTCGAATAATCTTTGTTAGTGTTAACCCACTCCCATCGATATACACTGCTCCATCCGTTTGTGCTCATTGGAATATAATGCCGGACTTTGTCTCCAGGACAGTTGTATGTTCCTGTATCTTGACGCAAAATATGTCAGCCATGTATCAAGCCTGTGTAAAATTCAATAAAAGAATCAGAATCAGCTTTATAGTCAGTTAAGTTTACAAATACAAGGAATTTGCTATGGTATTTTGATGCATAACAATAAACACTGCAGGTAGAAAATATAAGAAAGATAAATCTCATCTGGCAGTCTGCTCTTCCTTTGGTCTTTAGGAGTCTTAGATGTGGGCGCTGCCACCTGGTGGTCGGATGTGGTAACAGCGTTCGTTCTGTTTGCATTAACGGTTGAAGATGGCGACCGGAGTCCTTCACAGAGTCGGCGGTGGCCTGGGTCGGGCTAGAAGCAGGGCCCAGTCCGCCGGACAGCTCGTCGTTTGGAGCAGGTCGGCCAGTTATCAGTGTGCTTGTTTAGTAGTCATGTCTGTGGTGCTTCTAGTTCGCTGTTGTGGATTTATTTTGTTGGTTTCCGTAGTGGCGACGATGAGCTTGGGCAAGCTAGCCCGTTTATTGCTAGCCAGCCCTCCGTGGCCTTCAGGTTGAACTTGCATGAAAGCCGCACCTTTTAAAATCCTGTATATTGAACGCCAAAGCTGCGTGTATTTTGCTGGTGAAGTTGGAAGAATGCAAGTTTCTGTCATCCTTTGTTATTAAGCATCTCACATGTTCAAGGTCAATTCGGTACTTTATGCAAACAACATGTAAAACATTCTCATAGATGCAGTAACGTTAAGCCATGCACTTTTGTACTGTGACCTGCTGTGTTTCATATACTTTATCATAAGGTGTATATTATGTATTCATCAGAGGGACTGACATGCAAAGCCCAGTCTATATTTTGCCTTTAGTATTGTAAAATCTTGCCTCATAACAACAGCTGTAAACCTGAAATTAAGCTTCTTATATCTTCTATAAATGAAGCATGTCTGCTGGTATAAGTATAAATATAATATGTTTATGTGAGTGCAAATCTAATCCAATATCAAGATAGAAGGTTAGGAAGCCAGCCTTGACATACATTTATACATGTATAAAACTACATAAAATAATGAGAGAAATCTAATCTGTCCAGTCGTCGTTCATCACGACTCGTCTGTGTTTGCAGGGAGTTGGCAACATCTAGCAGCAGAAACAGACAGGACAGCTGGTTTAAGTCACTGTTTGTGAGGAAAGTTGATCCAAGGAAAGACGCACACTCCAACCTACTGACCAAAAATGAGGAAAGCAACCTGTACAAAATTCAGTGTAAGTTCATAATATCTGTACTTTAAAACAAACAAACCATTTAACCTAAAGTACTGATGAGATTGTTTTTAAAGTACAACTCTCTTTTCAGTCCATAATGTCAAGCCAGAGTGCCTGGATGCATACAACAAGCTCTGGTGAGTGTTTTTTCATATTATTGTCTAAACTGCATACTGTTATTAAGTTGTACTTAAGCAAAAGTACGAACAACAGTTGTAATATGAGACCGAACAACCTTGTGCACTGTTGTGCCGTGCTGAGTAAAAATAATCCAGAGTAGTCTATTCCTGTGAGGTCATTTACAAGATGGCATAACTTCAACCCTTCACACACATACTTGTAGACTAATTTGGGACTTGCAACATTAGAGAGAAAACACATGACCAGAAAACATGTGATTGTTAAGTGGATTTCGCCTTTAGGCAAGTATCAAATCAACTGTTTTTCAGTATTTAGTTAAATTTGGTGTTTCTCATTCATCACAGTGAGGATGTTTTGCCCTCCATCCATGCTGATAAGTACTACCCCTGTGAGCTGGTGGGCACCTGGAATACCTGGTATGGAGAACAAGACCAGGCTGGTAGGAGTTACTTATATCAACACACAAGACATCTGCATTGTAACATGCCTATGTGATCTGCACAGTTTGCAAAGCAGCAGGCATGTTATACTGCATGTCCGCACTCATTACCACCAGAAAACCACTGCTATTTGGGAAATTATTAGTGATGTACACCCAGTTTGTTCTATGGCAGATCAAACCTACATGTATCAATCCTGTCACGGTTATTTTTAAACCTAAGTGAAGCTACAGTACTGCCTTATATGAGCATTCCTGTTTTCCAGGGTCAGTATTTCTTAATCACATTATGTTGCATTCATTGTTGTCCAGTAGCATGCAATACAGAATTATCGGCTTGATAGTACTTGAATCCTATATCAAATAAAGTTAAACTTCCTATTATGCTTTTTGGCCTTTTCCGTTTCCTTTATATTGTTATCGTTTTTTGTGCATGTAATAGGTTTGCAAAGCGGAAAAGCCCAAATTTCACCACAAAGGGAGTTACCATCTCCCACCAAATATACTGTTCCTGAAATACCTGAAAACAGCTCGATTGTACTCCAGCTTATACTTCGGTAACCTATCTTTGTCACTCATCATGATGCTCGCCTAGCGGCTAGTGTGGCACGCAATCAAAAACACTGGTGGAGAAACACACTGAGCTGCAGCACACACATTGACGAGACTTCCGCCCACTGCCTCCCCTTACCCCCACCCACCCTACCGAACGTTAGATACCCTTTTACTTTACTTTATGGACATAAAGTAAAATAATTCAGTGTCATCAACAGTTTGTCTGATATAACCCACACAGGCTAAGGAACAGTTCTTGTGAATTTCATGTTGTCTAACCAGCTAATGATCTAAAATTCTTAGGCTGTAGTTTATTATAAATATGGCATTTTACAAAGACGTATACTGTTCAGGCCCACCCTCTCACAAATGCAGAAGAATTATGTCAAAGACTTTAAGTCTGGATGGATGTTTTTTATATATTATTTAATGACCCTGCTTTGACTCAATTTATCTGTTTGTATGATTTAACATTTATGACACCCCCTCCCAGTTCATCTGTGGCGGTATAGAGGAGGATACCCAGCTCTAACAGAGGTGATGAACAAGCTCAAGCAGAACCAGGTAGAGACGCATCTTGTTTGCAGCACCTATTTAGCGCTTCAGTAGAGTGGGTCTAGCCATCAGTCGGAGTAAAGCTTATTGATTGGTGTCCGTCCATTGGCAGGACTTCACAGCGTACAGGAAGGAGCGGGGTAAGATGCTGATGTCTCGCAGAAACCAGCTCCTGCTGGAGTTCAGCTTCTGGAATGAGCCCGTGCCCCGAGAGGGCCCCAACATCTATGAGCTCAGGTCCTACCAGCTCAGGGTGAGTAACAGGCCAGAGAGATTGTAACAATGAGTGATTAATAGTGCTGTAGATGTTTGTGAGTTTGAAAGTGTCCAGTCCGACTGATTGCCTGTCCTGGCCCATACCTCTACTTTGCCAAACACAATCAGCACTTTTACCAACAATCCAAACATTTCTTAAACTGTAATGGGTGTAAGTCAAGTTCATCTTATTTATAGAGCCCCAAATAACAAATTGGCCTCAAGGGGCTTTACAATCAGTACAACATACACCCACAATCTTTAAACCCTTGGTCTGGATAAGGAGAAACTCCCCAACAAACTTTTTAACAGGCAAGAAGGGAAGAAAACTCAGGCAGAGCAGAGGAGGGATCACTCCTCCACGGACAGACATGCAGTACAGTAGCTTGCAACTTTTGTTTTTTGTCTACTCTATACACATAAAAAAACAATAGTTACAAGATTGCTTTTTAGCAAAAAAGCTTTGTGTTAGAGAACAGAACCTTAGTTTAACTGAGCATAAGGCAATCATAACCGTTTACAGCATAACCTGTTTCCTGACACATTGTCAATGTAAAAATATATAAAAATATAAATGACAGAACAAACTAACAGTATGTCTTGTAAAGTTAACTGATCACTCTCTTTTTGTGTCATCAGTGTTTGACCACTCAGAGCAAGCAATAGAATAAAATCTTACTTGGTGAACTGCACAGCAGCAGCTGGGTGGGCTTCAGTGCTGTGGGTCACCCACACAGCGGTTGTTACAGAAAGTAATTAGATTAGGTTACTTGTTCACTTCTCCTAGCTCATGATTTCCCATTTAAAGTCCCAGTCAAATGCTTTGCTTCTGTGACCCCTAAATGACCTCTGTGGTGGTCAAACAGTCATCATTTGTGGCATTTCGTCCCACTTGGTCACACCATAAACAATTTGTATCTGCTTATGGACTTAGATGAAATTGGCAGTCCAGTGGCGCATGATTTTACCTCCTGTCAGTGTTTAAATTGAAGCAGTCGTACTCCTACATAATGCTCGATACTCATCCCACCAGCTCCTGCAGATTGAGTTGTTCTCTCTCATCTGACAGGCAAAACTGTCTCTAGATCAGCGCTTCCTGTGACACGTGATGAATGCAAGCTATTATCCGTCATCACAGGCTGAGATTACATTGTAGACACAGCAGGGTGTTGTCTTAAGCACCAGGGAATGATTGATGAAGGGTTCGGTTGTAATTCTTATTGCAGCTTATCTTCACAATGACAAAATACCATTTATTTGTGTTAATGCATTTACTCTTGAAAGAAGTAGAAAGAGTGATATCAATCTGTCACTCTGACAGCTCCGAATTATTTTTATTCTATAATTCGGAGCTGTCTATAATTTTATTTAATTATTGTTTTATTCTAATAAAGAATGTGCTCTCTTTCAGCCAGGAACCATGATCGAGTGGGGTAATTACTGGTAAGGCAGCCTGAATTCATTTGATTCACTGAGCTGTAGTTACCGAACAGTTGCACTACATGAAACCTTCGCTCATCACAGTGTCATTAATAAGAGCTATTCCACTGAGAGGCACTATGTTGAAGCGGTACTGTCATGCTCTCAAGCCAGGATTCAAATTTAAAGTGGATTATTATGTACACTCCAAATGTGCACACACAATATTTCAGTGTAATAAGCCTGGAAAGATCCACTGCTCGAGCTGTCAGAGCCAACAGGTCAACTTTTATCTTGTGCAATGCACTTGATTACAATTTATTTTAAATGAAGATGAGAACTTTCTGCACACGTGCCTTATTCATTTTTTTTTCTTTGATTGTCTATTAGTGGATTTCAGTGTTGGTCTTTCTATTTGTCTGACCAGTTTAAAGTTAAATCCACGGGGTTACATTTCACAACTTGTTTTGCACTTATGCCAGTGATGTTAAACGTAAAAGACGACTCCAGCGTTACTGAAATGGTGTCAAATCTTCATTATCTTCCTGTTTGAAACATTTGTGGTAATTCCTAACCTCAGTGTGCGTGATTTTATGTAAATATGACTTTAAGACACTTGAATATCATCCAGGCGTTTCTGCTTTGAGACGGCAACATTTCCCTTATCTAAAAATCATAGGGGAATAAAATCACGTTGGATTAAAAAAGACCATGCTAGGACAAGTTTTTTTGTTTGTTTGTTTTTTGTTTTCTCCTGAAGCTACTATTACCTTTCTTATGTTGGCATGTATGCTTACTTTAACCAGTCTTTATTTGAACAAACCTCTATAGCAGGGGTATTCAGTTAGAATTCAAAGAGGTCCAGTTAGAGAAAATTTCCTGAAGCAAACGTCCGGAACATCAAAACGACTAACTTGCGTCATCATTCAGTACCATAGTACAGTTGTATCAACATATGTTTTTAGTCAACAACGGAATGTCAAATCAAATAATTTTTCAGTTTTCACATCAAACTGGAGGGATAATAAATAACTACTCTAATAATAAATTCTAAATTTAAGTAAACTAAAATAAAGTGCCTAATTTTTAGAAAAAATGGAAGTTAAAAGTGTAGCTTGAAGTGATGAAGTGTAGTCTTAACCAATTTTATAATAAACACACAACACATCATAACAAATGAACAGCTGTAATGCCTCCTCTTCTCTTTCATTCCCTCTTACAGAGCTACCACTCCTACTTTCTTGTTCAGTGAGAAACTTGAGCTCCAGCTAGCATTGGAGATCTGAGATATTCTGGTTTTGAACTGCCCGTGGGAGGAATGTACATGTAAAAATCTGTACATTCTTGATTAAAAACCATGTGAAATCTCTTTTCCTTTTCGTTTCCTCAATTCGTGTGTTTCCAAAATGTCTGTGGTGAATCTCGCGTATTCGACTCGTAAGCATCGGATTGCACAGATTTGATTGGCTGAGCAGCGTCACATGAGACGATTGGCGCACATGCGATTGGTCTGAGTTTCCTGGTCCGCTAAACCAGTACAGTAAATGCTAGAAAAGCTGCGCAGGTTAAAATAGAAACGCTCCGTCACGAGGTAGTAAGTCTCAATAATAAATCGGCTATAGGTCGGCGGTCCAGAGAGGACAGTGGCTGGATCCAGACCGCGGTCCGCCTATTAGTGACCTCTGCTCTATAGTCCTGCAAATTATGCCAGCAAATCAATTTAAGTCAATTACAATACAATCTGTGTAGCTGAAGGCTTAGACATCTTCTTCAAGTTACAACAGCACTAAGAACTGGAGCTAGTTTTGAATCCAGACAGTGATTATGATTTGAATAAGTGCATGTTTGCTTTGGGAGGAAAACATGATGGATTTAAGACACTCTGCTCATTCCACATGGACTTGGCCAGCATTACGATTCACAAACATGTGTACAGTAAGTAATGGCATCAGATCTTATGGTTGGATGTGATGTTGTAATGGATAATCACAGCTATAGAAGACTATTGGCGTCTCGCTTACGTTAACAAAACAGACTAAATCCAATTGTGTAAATTAAAAACAGTCCAGAATAAATTCAGAGATGATGGTGCCAGGATTAAGCCTTGGTGTTCTTTGGCTTGCGTTGTGACTGAAGTTGTTCTTGTCTGCAGGGCCAGGGCCATTGGATACCGCCAGCACAACAGAGAAGCTGTGGGAGGGTTTTTCTCACAGATCGGCAACCTCTATATGGTGCATCACCTCTGGGGTACGGTCAAACAACAGCTTTATGCAAAAGCACCTAGCGACAGTGTCACCATGTGGACTATCGCGCTAGTGCTGAAATCATCAGTAGTTCTACAGAACACCAATCAACAGCCGTTTTGATGATCGATTAAGTCCTTTACAAAGCAAAAATGCCCAAATATTAGCTGTTTCCATTTCTAATTCACAAGTTTCTTTTCTTTGTTCTATATTGTAAATATGAGTTTTGGAACACTGTTTGGACAAAACAAGCTATCTGTATTTGTCACCTGCTCTGAGAAATTTTGGGGGGGGGGGTTCTTGAAATCGTATAGACTTACAGCTGCACTAATTTTTAAACAATCAATCAGATGACTACCTGTTATTTCAACTGGCTCACTTGTAGTGAACCCACATAATTTCAACTCAGTTTTTATTTTATGGCCCACAACTTTGTTTTAACTTTCATCTGCGTTTCCAGCAGTAAATGGCTATTACCTGTGAGACAGCTTTGATGAACTTACTTCCTGCACCAAGCAGCACAGAAAGTTAGAGGCTAGCAGGTCAACATAGTGGAGCACTTAGCAGCTAAAAAGAGAGATTTTCCCCTCAGGAGTTGGAGACCAAAATGGAGCGAAAAGCAGAGTCAAAAATAAGTTGTTATAATTAAAACGATTATTCTGTTACTTGGAGCCCTGAATTATGACTCCATGTACTATAAGTGATACAATGTGTTTGATTTGTTGATTGCAGCTTACAAAGACCTTCAGTCCAGAGAAGACACGAGAAATGGCGCCTGGCAGCAGGAGGGCTGGGATGAGGTGGTGTATTACACAGGTGAGCAAAAAACGTAATCTTTTCTAAACACAAAGTGGGGATGAAAACTGTGACTGAAAACTTAGCTAATAGGCTTACCTAATTTGTCTTGAGTTAGAACATATTTAGCTTTTAGAGCTTACTGAACCTGATCAATATATAAAAGGACTTGAGGACACAGGTCTTAATTTTTCTCGTTTCACTTTTCCCCAGTTCCTCTGATTCAGCATATGGATTCCAGGATTATGATCCCAACAAAGGCTTCCCCGCTGCAGTGAAATGAGAAGAGAGCTGGCAGCTGAAGTGGTACCCTTTTCATTTAAATGTTACATCTATCCAGAGCATCACTATCATGCCAAACAACACCCCTTCTCTGTTCTTGTTTTGTTACTTAAAGATGTCACTAGGACAGAGGAGGCAACAATGCCTACCATGTATCTGCAATAATTAAAATAGTTCAAGGCACTCACAGCCCCTTACAATATCCAACTTCTTTTTTTTGGAGGGAGGGGGGGGTCTGGAGCAGGATGAGTAAAAATGGCCAATTGAAACCTCCTGATGGTCGTTATTTGACATGTGGTGCCACATTAAAACTCGTTTATGAAGAGGGCTCTTCGCTAAGTTTAGAACCAGCCAAAGTTACTTGAAAAGACATAGCTGTATGCGGTTCAAGTGTGCGGAAAAACCGTGCTGCTGAAGCTCACTGCGCAATGCAGAAGCTATTTATTTATTTAATGTAAATTTGGAACATGTTTCAAGTGTGCAGAGAAGTGGCACTTTGATGTAAGCCATGCTATTGTTGAGTGAAGTGAGAGGAAGCCTCTGTATTCATGAAAACGATGAAGTATGATGCAAAATATAAACCTTTTTTTAAATTTAGGTTTATTATAAAGCAAATTTTTGCAAACTACTCCTTTCAGTTGCTTTTATCTGGATGTTTCTAGGGTCCATGTCATGGTGATGTTGATGTTTCATGGTGCTGTGTTTGTGACTATGGCTTGTACTTTTATTCCTGTAAAGACAACATGCCTGGTTTTAAAAACTGTTTTTATCCAACAAGTTTTAAAGGGGCATAAATATCTACGAATGAATAAATCTTATCAGTGGCTGAGTGAATCTGGCACTAAGTGGGCAGTCGTGCTGCTGCATACAGGTATTGTAATATCAGATTTTTATTGTTAAAAAGGAAGCATGCTATCTTTTTGTTCCTCACATCATAGGGGACAGTGTACAGGGACCGACACAAAAAGCAAACACATTAAAACAGTTCAAATAACGTCTTTCACAGTTGTTTGTTTAATGCTTGTGTTATCTACAGGACTGAAGTCACTACACTCATTGACATGTCTGGTTACAGCTCTTCTGCAGAATCAAAACATTGCTAATCATTACACATAATATGCAGGAGTTGTATTAGTTTACCTAAAGGTTTTGATGCAAAAAGTGCTGTAAGACTAAAATATTCTTAACCTCCACACAGACAGTGTTTGGTTATTGTTTTAGTAGCTTAGTATAAAAATCTCCCCCTGAAGGTAAAATTGTCATTCATTATTAAAAAAGAAATCTGTTGTGTCAAAGGAAAAATGTACACCTGATGAAACCATCAGAGGCACACTCTTAGGTGCAAATATAAAAGTGTTAAAAATTAGTAACAGTACTCTAAGATCTTTAAATCTTTTCCAGTTCCTTTAGCAGCTCCCCAAAGCTTGTCACGTACCACGAAGACCTCTCCTTCACCTGAGGCCTGATGACATTCCCACCAAATCCAATGAAAGCACTCTGAAGACAAAAGAGAATACTGTAATAGTCACACCGTAACTCCAATTTGCTTTCAAGAATGCATATTAACCACCTATTGAATATGCAAATGTGCACACACAAAGGTGAAAACTGGAGACATAAGTGCAAGTTATACTTCTGCGTCAAATCGACGGCGTAGGCTACGGGGCTACGCAGAGGCTACGCCGTCGCCTGACGTGCACCTCCTGAAGCAGCGCAACACACAATGTGAACACTTACAGCAGGAGGGCAGGCCTCTAGATCCGTGGCTCCATCGCCGACCATCACTATAGTCTTGAAGCCATATTGTTCCTTCAGCATGCTGATGACCTTTCCTTTTCCACCACTCTCAGCTGTAGGCTGGCTCTCATCAAAACCAGCATACTCTCCTGGAGAAAACAATTTAATTTAGAATTCTGCATAACAGCAAATGACAGGGGCTTTGTGACACTTTAGATAAAGGAAAACATGAATCAGATGGGAAACCATCTCCATTTTAAGACTGAAATATAAAGAAAAAGAATAAATGTGGATATATAGACAACAGAATAAGCATTTTCATTTATTTTCACATTTGATATATCTGATACATATTTTTTCCATATAAATTACTTTGTGTATATTTTTTATTTAATCCCATTTCTTTATTCTTTTCCATATTGCTTTTGCTATTCCTTGAAGGGCCAAGCTATCAATCAACTGGCTTTGGGCGGGCTGGACGTCAAACCACTACCACATTCACACTAGAGACTGACATTTTTTTCAGGAATCCTGTGGGTCAGGGGATTACTGCCGGGTTCCCGCAGGATGGGAAACAATTTCAGTAATCATCGAGGGACTGGGGTGGGACGGGAAAAAAAGTCAACGGGATCAGGATGGGACAGGAGTCATTCTGGGATGGGACACTATTTTTGTGGGAGCAGTATGGGACAGGAGTGAAAATCCACTCCTGTGACACCCTCTAATTCACACTGCACACATGCAAGTCTGCACTGCATCTACTATATTTGAAAATTACCCGTGGACAAGTAGTAATGTTCAAATAACCAATTTATTTGTTTTTAATCAAAACAGCATCATACAGTTACATGTAAACTTATTTCTTCCTTGTAGTTGCTCCTCCCATGTTTGTTTACCTTTATTTAATCCAGGCATCTCCTGGTAACCCCATGTTTAACATCACGCTATGAACTGTAGGTAATTTGATTTGACAGCGGGACTGTCTTAAGGTCTCACGGACTTACCGGGAACATCGTGGCCATCGTCCAGTGTGAAGATTGGGATTCAGCCTAGTAAGTAGGTGCAGCGCCCTCTAACGCTATTGGTTTACCCTCAAGGCTCTGTCTCAGCACCTGAGACAGAAGGTTTTTTGTACACACACTGCCCAACTGGGGGTAGCACCCACCCCCTGTATAACCTCAGTGTATGCATTGCTCACCTCCCTTTGAAACTCAACAACTAGGACCAGCTAGTCTTATGGTTAGGACTAATTTAAGGACTGTATTCAAGGAATTGGGAGTTACATCCAGGTAACTACCATTTCTATTTCGTACTTGCTCCGCTCTCTAAAAGGGCTCTGCTATTGGTTAAAACCAGAGGCGAAGGCCATAGAGATGAGATGTACCGCCAGCCTGGACCCAAACTTTAAAGGGTAACTTGAGTAGTTTTCAGCCTGAAAACCTGGATTTTCCCATGTTTTCTGTCTGTGACTAATTGGGACAAATAATTTGGAAATTGGTCCAGTATTGAGCAAACGCTTCAGTCGGCAGTAGTGAAGAAGGGCTGCAGCGTAATCCTTGTGGGCAATTGTGCCCCATCAAAGTACGCCGACTATCACTATTAGTGTCTGACAACAGTATGGAAAGGATCCATGAGAGACATTTTTTCGAAGAGTAAGATCCTTTCATTTTAACCAGAAACAGTCGCTAAATCGCTTTTGTCCAAGCCACCAAACTCCCTTGATAAAAACAGTAATTTAGGTCCAGGTTGAAAAATACCAAAGCTACCCTTAAAGGGGGCCTCATCTATCCACTAATGGCTGATACCCAACTATTTCATACACCTATTCAGACAGACTCTTCCAATGCTCCACACACACACACGCCTGTCTTCTGCTCTTACCATTGAAGTAGAACTTGAGCCGGTTGGCGTAGACATGATGCTGAGGAATGTTTAGCTGAGTGGCCACATGTTCAACAATGCAGCGGAAACCACCTGAGATGAGAAACACCTTTATGTTGCGTTGGTGCAGCCGCTCCACAAGCTCCCTGGATGAAGATAAATAGCCACACTCAAATTAGATGGATGCAATTTTTAATTATATTTTTGTATAGTAAAATCTACTTTGGACCAGTGGGCCTCAATCACCCAACTATGGCTAGGCAGTTTTGTACTAAAACCATGCGCACACATATTTACAAGTTGATGTGAGTAAATAAGCACCTATGCATAATATGCACAAATGAACAGGAAAGGCTTGAAATGCTAAATGCATGTATAGCATTAATTCTATCATAATAATGTTGAGGGTGTTATTAAACAAAACATTCTTGTTTTATGCATTTTTTTAATTCTAATTTATTTATTTATTTTTTTTTTAAATGGCCGCAACAATTAAGGGGTCACATTATGCTCATTTTCAGTTTCATAATTTTAATTACTGGTTGTACCAGAATAGGTTTACATTGTTTAATTTTCAAAAAACACTGTCATACTGCACTTTGCTGCAGCACCTCTTTTCACCCTGTGTGTTGAATGCTCCGTTTTGGGAGTGAAGCACTTCACGTGACGTCACATTCCAGGGAAAACGCTCCCTTGGAGAGCAAAAAAGACGTTATTTCCGCTGCAGGCAGCGAGTGATACACGGCTACTTTTTCGTTGCCAAAATGCTGGATGGTTGTTGTGTTTTCGGATGCACTAGTTGTGGAGGAGACAAACCTGGGCTGTGTTTGGTGATGGATTCCCCACGAGGTAAACATAAACGTTACTGCAGTCGAGCGGCGGCAGGGACCTGTCGGTTTTTAACGGTAGAAATACGGCAGTGGATGCTGTAATATTATATGGATCGTATATGCCCAACACTTGCAGTTTGTGTTCATATCTTTTTTCCTTTAGGTTGAGAGGTGATCCAAATAAAGTTTAACTGTTTTTGCGGCGTCTCTAGGGGGGAGTCGCGGTGTGAGCCGCTATGTTGGTCTGCTGTTTTGCCCTCCAGGTCACCGCGCATGTCACGTGAATGAAAACTATGACTTAGATCTTTGTTTGCACATGCGGAGTACCTAGTTAAGAGCTACTAGCCAATCAGAAGCAGAGTGGGGCTGATCCTGACAAGCAAGGCAGTGTGTTTCATAACAAAAGCCGCTTCAGCTGGTAACCACGGCTTCGGTTCAGCCAGTCCAAGCCTGCCGGTCATTAAAATTTAGGTGTACTAGCTGCTAGGCGAGCATTATGGCCCATGTTACAAAGTGACGCAGATCTTTTAATATTACTACTACTACTCTCGTTATGGCTTATACAGTGGGGAGAACAAGTATTTGATACACTGCTGATTTTGCAGGTTTTCCTACTTTCGAAGCATGTAGAGGTCTGTAATTTTTATCATAGGTACACTTCAACTGTGAGAGACGGAATCTAAAACAAAAATCCTGAACATCACATTGTATGATTTTTAAATAATTATTTTGCTGGGATGGTGTTCTTGGGGTTGTACTCATCCTCTATTTTTGTCTCATCAGACCACATGACCTTTTCCCATTCTTCCTCTGGAAGATCCAGATGGTCATTGGCAAACTTCAGACCGGCCTGGACATGCACTGGCTTGAGCAGGGGGACCTTGCGTGCGCTGCAGGATTTTAATCCATGATGGCGTAGTGTGTTACTAATGGTTTTCTTTGAGACTGTGTTCGCAGCTCTCTTCAGGTCATTGACCAGGTCCTGCCGTGTAGTTCTGGGCTGATCCCTCACCTTCCTCATGATCATTGATGCCCCACGAGGTGAGATCTTGCATGGAGCCCCAGACCGAGGGAGACTGACTGTCATCTTGAACTTCTTCCATTTTCTAATAAGTGCGCCAACAGTTGTTACCTTCTCACCAAGCTGCTTGCCTGTTGTCCTGTAGCCCATACCAGCCTTGTGCAGGTCTACAATGTTATCCCTGATGGCCTTACACAGCTCTCTGGTCTTAGCCATTGTGGGGAGGTTGGCGTCTGTTTGAGTCTGTGGACAGGTGTCTTTTATACAGGTCACGAGTTCAAACAGGTGCAGTTAATATAGGTAATGAGTGGAGAACAGGAGGGCTTCTTAAAGAAGAACTAACAGGTCCGTGAGAGCCGGAATTTTTACTGGTTGGTAGGTGATCAAATACTTATGTCATGCAATAAAATGCAAATTAATTATTTAAAAGCCAAAAAATGTGATTTTCTGGATTTTTGTTTTACATTCTGTCTCTCACAGTTGAAGTGTACCTATGATAAAAATTACAGACCTCTACATGCTTTGTAAGTAGGCAACCTGCAAATCAGTAGTGTATCAAATACTTGTTCTCCCCACTGTAGATATCTATTGTGTTTTTTTGTTATCCTTAACCTTTCCTCTCCTATACTCCTTATGTTAGTCCGTCCACATTTACTAGGGTTTAGGTCAGAGCTGCGAGATTGTTTTGGTGTTTTCGTCTCTTGTTGTTCCTCTCCTCTCATGGAATGTTCATTCAAGGTCGAGAGGATCTCTGTTCCCCAAAACATAGAAACTAGACTGTAAATGATGATGCTCGGGGCCAGACGCCCGAAGCCGTCCTAGGCGGCAGGTCTCTGGACCAGCTGTATGTGTTTTAGTACTTCTGTTTATTCTCTTTTGTTAAATAAATTCTTCAAAAACAACAGTTGGTTGTAACTCTTATTTGCTCAACCCCTCACCAGGAATATAATTTCCACGACAGGTTACAGAATAAAGGCTGTACAACAATCCAGCTTTTTTCAGGCAGTTCAGGAGCAGTGTGTTTTCTGTGGGAGATGGTAACTCCCTTTGGCATATCCTGTGCATACCAATATTTCTGTAATTTCTGGCTGAATCTTCATACTCACCTGATGCCTGGAGTCAGCTGAGGCGGGTGGTCTGTTATCAGTTTGTTCACCTGTTCTCTGGAGCATCGGATGATGGAAAGACGCTCAGTCAAGGCTGTTTTAAATGTCATTGAGCCCCCCATAGCTTTGCGAGTCCTGACAAGTAGAAACCGCAAAAGACTGCATTATTTTTTGCAGGTGAAAAGTGTACTTTTCAGGTATGTTCAACGCCTTTAATGAGACACCGACAGCATTTACAAACATACATTTCTGTGACAGCATCCCCCACACCACAAAACTTGGCGAGTTCATCTATGCCTTCTTCTTTGATAACTGTGCTGTCCACATCGAAACAGACCGCTTCTGCTCTCCGGAAGAGTTCCTTTGTCTGTGAAAGTGTTGCCATTTTGCTGGAAAAAGAAAAGCACACAGTGTGAGACAAATGTAACAACAGAAGGACTTACAACTCTGATGATTGGCATAGATTGCAGGATATGGGTGTCAGGCAATTTTGGGAAGTCATCTGAGGGTACATCTAGTCATTTGTTTGGTCCTGAGAGAGGTCTGTGATTTTTCCCAGCAGTTGCACACTGTTTAACTAACCAGCATGCAGCGGATGTCTTCAATCCAGTGAAGCAGCAAATACATCCATTGACTAAAATACCTATGTGCAAGCGTTTCTACATCGATGGAGCTCATCCCAAATAAACACGTGTCTGTCCCCGGCAGATCATGTGAAACAAACAAAGCGTTGCATAAGTTAAAGCCTGCCTAAACAAACCATATGAGAAAGGCCATTATGGACATCCTCTGCCCGTATTGCGTCACCCCCGGGTAACGTTACACTACCATAGACTGTACACTACAGAGGACCGACCGCAGGTGGGGGGAGCAAGACCCAAAACAAACGTGTAGACGATGAATCTGTAGCTAAAATGTCCAGCGTTAACGTTACTAATTGTTAGGTAAAGGAGGATTTTACCTGTCCGGTGCAGATTTGAGTGCATCACACACACTCTGTTCAAGCGTCGAGCAAAGGGGAACCACTCAAGCTGCAACACCAGGCTAATGTCCTCGTAATAATAATAAAATGCACAGGTTGTGCTCTGGCACTTACCGGTACAGGCAGCGTTGATAAGGCACTAACAGCAGCCTCTGCATTTACAGACCCACAGTGTTCACTGATGAGGAAGAGAAGAGCTGAATGGTGGACCAATCAGAGGGAAGCCGGTGAGGGACCGCCCCCCCCCCAAGGACCGCCCACTAACCGCTGGCGCTGTTCCATGACGTCATCAACGGTCAGCTGACGGCAAATTTATGCTAACTGTATAGACTGTATATAAAGGCTAACAGTGACATGTGCTTTATATATATTTTTTCAAAACTCTACACACAATTCCCCAAACTGCTCACACAAAATGCAAAATGTCCTTCCAAATGAAACACTGCATTCAAAATGCCTTAAAAACTTCCCTAAATGAAGCATTGGCCTCAGATGGCAAACACTTTTTTCATAATAGTAGCCTAAATTATTGGATATATCATTTACACACACTTGTTCTAAATCTGAAGCTCATTTGTCTTTCATAGGCTTATGTGTACATTTCCATACAATGCTCTAGAGTGAAAATAATCTGCTAAGAGCTGCTGAAAAGTACATTGTAAACACCAGTACAATGTTGAAACAGCAAATATTTATTTGGCAAAACATTACTGTTGTAACAGTAGCAAAGTGTAAAATATATACACAGCATACAAGAAAAGGAAACCATAAACATATACAAACTAAAAATATATTTTTTACTTTTATTGCTAAAAATTAACATTTATTTTACAATACTATACTGCTGAAATAACTGTTCTACTTTCTGGAGGTTCAAATTATGGATGCCGCTTTAAAGCAACTCAAGTTGGGCTGGTCTCTCAGTCCAACTTCTCTCATTGTCAACCTGATCAATAAGTGTGGCCCTGATCTCATCAATGATGGCTCTCTTTCCTTCTCTTCTTTTCTCTTTGAACTTGTCCTCGTTGTTGTCCCCTGCCTCTCCCTCCTACTCCCCTTGCTCTCTGTCCATTGTTGGCATCCATTGTTCAAAGCAGGTAATCTGACCTTTGACCTATGTATAGGTTTAGTGTATAGTAAAGCAGTGATTAGTTATTGTTCAGTTAAGCAGTTAGTGTTTGCACATGTGAGGAGTGGCTGTGTGACCTGGTGAATACGTGTAGCAATTTGATTGGTTGTGTTTGGAAAACAAAAGCAGGTCACTTCCTGTTAGATTTTTGTGTCTTAGGTAGAGAATTGTGTGTAGTGTTTTGAAAAAAGTGTTTTATGCGATTGAAAACTTAGTGAAAGGCTGAGAAATAGCTTATGGTTTTGGAGATTTGAGATGAGGTTTTGCTCTTTGAGTGAGACGTTTCAAAGATTTTGTGTGTAAGCAGTTGTAAAAAACTGTAACGAGTTACATTTCATTAGTTATCCTTAAAATAACTGTATCAAAGTAGGTTTGCTGTTACTGAAGCAGAAGTTTCAGTTCCAACTTAAGGGGTCTGCAAACTGGTCTATAGGCCTACTGGTCCTGGACTACAACCAGTTCAATTTATTGTTGCATTAGGCCTATGATTGTACAACATTCTAACATTTTATAGTACATCCAGTCAGGAGAATTATTAGATTTCTTAAGTGTAATTAGCTTGCCCAGCACAGCCGAGCTAGATAATAGGGTTATGGTTAGGATAGATGGCAGAACCAGATCATGACAAGGGTTTCAGTAGGGAACCTTTACTGGTGGGATTGACAGAGGAAGAGAAGTGGATTGGGTACACGGGTTTAAACAGTAGCCTAGCCTATTCAGGTTTTAATGAAGAAACATGCTAATGATCATACTTTTATAAGAGCCTTTCCGGTCCTGATTTTCTTTTCTTTTTTTCTTCACCTTAAAAATGTTTTCTGGTTCATATCTGTTTTACGTGTCTTTTTATTATAAAAGCACTTTGTGCTAATTGATTTTGTAAAGTAAACTATAAATAAAGATTATTATTAGGCCATATATATTTATATTTATAAAGCATATGATTATTGTGATGCGTGATTCAATGGTTTAGCAAGTTTGGTTAAGACACCTTTTAAAATCCAACCTAAAAGCATGATAAAGTAGGCCTTCACAAATCTAGCCTACTTGAGTAACAGTACGCCATAGATACCCTTGCTAAATATTACTACACTAACAGTCTTCGATTTAAATTTCTACCTGAGTCAAAGTACAAAAGCACTTTTAAAAATATAGAAGTAGGCTATCAAAAGTAAAAAGTAGCCTATGCTTATGTTTGTTAGGGGTTGCTGACAAGAAACATAGAATTTCAAATACAGTAAGCTAACTTTCCTATTTTTTAAATGACATTCATTATTAACAGGTTGCCCATTCAATAAGAATTTAAGTTACTCAGTTACATGTGTGTTTGTGTCACCGGTAGACAAAGTATTCAGATTCTTTACTTAATGAGCTGAATGTTAAAATATTATATATTATTACTCATGCATAAATGTAAAAGAAGGATTTTATTGTAGTTGTTTAAGGGGAGCCCATTTTTAACTATTTTGTATTGGAATGCAAATAATGATTATTTGAATTATGGATTAATTTACTGATTATTTTCTCCATTAATCAATTTTTGAAATTCTGAAAATAGTGAGAAATGCCACCCAAAGTGACACCTTCACAATGCTTGCTTTGTCTAGCTAACTGTATAAAGCTCAAAATTATTACAAATAACTAAAGGAAAAGGATGGAACCATGAAATATTTTTACATGAAAAATGTCTAAAAAGGATCAAACTTGTTTGTTAATTTCACTGTCTATCTAATAATAGTGTCTGTACTAAATGGTTGGTTAGTTTAATTTCTATCAAAACATGTTTTATTAAGATGTAATGTGTTGTGTGTAAAAAAACTTAATTTGTAAAGCAACTAGTAACTTAAGCTATCAGACAAATGTAGGGAAGTACAATATCTCCCTCTAGGTGTAGTGGAGTAGTAGCAGAAAGTCGCACGAAAAGAAAATGCTCAAGTGAAGTACAAGTAACTGAAATGTATACTTAAGTACAGTACTTGAGTAAATGTACTTAATAACCGTCCACCACTAAAAGTAAAGTGGGCATCTTTCAAAGAAATTATGCTCAGAATAATTTTTTCTGTCAACAGAAGGTGGCGGTAATGCGCGCAGAGATGTTTCCAACCGGCACAAAATGCTGCAAATAGACGAAGAAGAATGCTAACTGGACAATCCACGTTGAAGTCGGTGGAGAGCAGGGCGGTGATTTTAAGTTGTGAAAATAAGATGGACTCGGTCGTCCAGGTTCCTGTAAAAAGGAACCAGCGTTGAAATCGAACAATGAACATTTGAGGCCGCAGCTCAGCGCAGGTATGTTTTACTTGCTAGATTCAGGCTGAACGTCTTTGGTTAACATCAGGTGTGGGATATGAACGTGGAGAGCACGTGGTGGCACCTGGGAGTCTGATGGACATTTGCGCTGTAACCCCACGACATTAATACCCTAAATACTCGTGTGTATGGACATGGTGTTGAAGTGTAATCAAGCTTCTGTGTAGTGAGATAGGTCCAGTGTGTTAGGAGGGTTAAGTTATGCTGCAGGGCCTAAAAACTTAACGCTACAGTGAAAGAAAATCTACTTTGGTGTGTATAAAATATATAGTTATGCTCAATGTGTTAACATGTTTCTGTACCCCTGTTATGTGATCATTTCACATGATAGATACATTGGAGGAGATGACCTGACTCATCACGGAGGAGCTCCCATCCGGACTCACACAGACCTCCATGTGGGGAGGTGAGGAGGTTCATGATACTGGAAGTTGCACATAAAGCTGGGAAGTAATTGAACAGCACAATTAAAATATGTTCCTTTCTAATGGTCTAAAGCACAAAATATGGTGGAGGTCCTTGCCTCTGCCAAGCCACACGTGTCTAAATGAATGTTCATGCATCTCATACTTCACTAACTTAAACGTGTGAGGAGCCAAAACAACCCTTGAAATGGTATGCTCTTTGTCTACATTTTAAAAACAAGCACTCAAACGTCATAACACATGCAACATGCATGGCAGAATTCTGTATTACTCTTGAAATAGTAAATGCAGTCAGACACCATGCTAAATCATAGTTTTCACACACTGACTCAACAACCGGATAAGAGCGCTAACCATGTGCCTCATTCTTACGTCAGAGTGAATACAGAAACATGTGGCTGCCTTGAATATGTGACAGGGCTTTGCATATAAATATATCTTACTAGGCTGCAACTATTTTCATTTATTGATTAATCATACAAGCATATTCATTTAGATAAGTCCACTTTATAAAAAGTTAAACTGACAATATTTGAATTTATGAAGCTGTAACCACCATATGTGATAGTTGCTTGGATTATGACAATAATTGTTAAGCGCTACAGTCTTAATGCCTTTAAAACTCTTCTTGTTTCTGTGAGAATACACTAGCTCAATAAAATATTACATCAGCAGACAAATTCATCTCACAGCCTGTATTATAATTTTTTGCTCCAGCAGTTGTGGATATTGGTGGAGAAGCGCAGTACTGCAGGCTCTGTCATGTGGCTGGTGGTCACACTAGTCCAAACAGATGGGACTGATACGACGGACAGAGAGAGGCCCGAGGACGGTACGTTTGTACACACAGTTACGCAATGAAAAAGTTCTGTCTGAGGCATGGAAGAATTCTGTTCCAGCTGCTCTGTGGTGGATACAGTCAGACACCATGCAAAAGCATCGTCTCATTTCTGCTAAATGACTGGATGAGTGCTTCCCTCTGCCTCATCCAACTGTACAGGAATGAGTACAAGATGTATTTGGAAAGATGCTGCTCTGCAAGAAATCCTGTTTTGTTTTTGTATAAAAGTTTTTCTGTTCACTCAATTCTGCAGGTCAACTAGTGGCCACTTCTGATGCAGGAACATGAGATAAAATTGGCAACTCCTTCCCTCCTGGTAAGAACATGAAAATTGAAGTCAAAATAATTGTCATACTTGGTTATCCAAGGAAGGTTAAAATCAAGGGTGACTGGGCAACCAGAGACTTTAACCTTCACTGGATAACTTTGACCTGGATGACTGATAATCTTCAGATATCACACTTTGTGATCTGTTTAACTAATACAGTTTTATTTATTCATATATTTTTTTCTACCCACAGCTCCACATGGGAAAGCGTTAGACGTTCAATGATTGTTTATACTTGAAAGATGATGTGAATGTACTTCACTCTTCTGTTTATAATAATAAACCTGTAACTGTGTTCAAATGGGTCTTGTGTATTAGCTTTTTCCATTAGGCTTTAAGTTGTTGGACAAAGACACAGAAAAACGCAGTCCAGATCATTTTAAATTATAAAGTCGGTAGGTTTCTTATAACAGGATGTGGATTTTAAAGCTGGAGTGCAGGATTTGAACATATAAATATATGTCCATTACATTCAAGCCCTTACCAAAAGAGTTCACGCAATGCTTATTAAGCCCATCACTGCCAGATAAATCTGTGTATTTCTAGTATACGGAGTTTTCAAATCCGGTGTCTGTGGCAACATTCCCCATAGACTGTATGACAGGAATGATTGGTTTGGCAGAGTTGAAGGGGAGGAGTGACCGTAGTGATGGCAACAGCTTATTGGCAAGTATATCTGTGTCAGAGCCATCAGAAGCACGTGTCGGCAATGTTGTGTAATTACACTCAATGTCAGAAAGAGACGAAGTTCTTCACGGCAGGTTTAAATTAAACGCACATTTTAATAAATAAATCCATAGCATACATTTTAAAGTGCTGCTATCTTTCCTTGAAGCCGTTACAGTACAGTAAGTAATTGAGTGCATATTGCATAATTTTTAAATGGCCACATGGTGCACAAATGTGTAAGTAACTACCATTTCAAATACACAGGTTTACTTTAATATTAACTAAATTATGTAGGTTCTTTCCAGAAGTTTTGCTTTGGCTGCTGTTTTCATCAATATTTCATACAAAAAGAGGGGGAAACCTTGTGTCCACATCTGTAATATGGACATTGTCTTAAAGACACAATCTTGTTGATAACATATTATAGTGGCTGATGGCTTAAAGAAAAAACTAAATTTTCAGAGGATAGAAAGTGTTGAACAGTGGCGTTGTGGCGGATGTCTTGTTTGCCGCACTTAGTGAGGTGGTGTTGAGGGAAATCAATCCTACTGTAATAACCAATGTGGCCTTTCAAAATTCTAAATTCATGAGCAAAGTATGCTCTCCACATTAAAGACAAACTTGAATTAACCGTGTCTTGCATTAGGTGGTTATGTTTTACACGATGGAGAAGAGTACAAAAAGTCTCACAGAGTAGGAGTGCATCCAGCAGATCCGTCCTGAGTAACGTGCTCGTTACCAGATGTGGTGGACCGGCTCGTCTGCCTCAGTGGCCAGCGTCAGCAGGATGGCTTTGGGAGTGTTCTCAAAAAGTGCTGCTCTGTTCTGAGTTTGGCCCTTCTTGACCCAGTGGCCGTAGATCTTGAATGCGCACGCGTCAATGAGCTTGCGAATGGGCTTTACAGCATACGGGTCACTCTGAATCACGTCCTTTGTGACGGGCTTGGCACGGCGGTAGTTGCAGTAGATTCTCATTGTGGCGAGAACAGTCATGCAAATGACCTGAAGGAGAAAGTTAAGGGAAAGTTCACAGGTGCACATTAAAAAAACCTAAACCCATGGACCACCGACGTTAGAAGTCTTCTAAGGAATGTGTGTAAGTGTGAAGACTGTGCTTTATTGACATCTTTCTTACCCTCCTATTCGTTTTGCTGCACCTGCAACTAAACGTTATTCTTAAGTATGCGGTAAGTGTTGGGGTTGATGTCCTATCTTCCAGGGAACCATTTGTTGTCTTTCATTTTAGTGCACAAAAATTTCATTTGAAAATGTACCTGCAGAGACTTGTTTTATAAGAAACTACAATGGCCAAACTTAAATAAGACATTAGCAAATATCAAATCAGGCAAATAAATACAAGACAATGCTGTTTATAAATGATACATTGTGAAATAATCTTTGGGAAATATTTAAATGAAATTTTTGGGTGGTTTAGCAGTTATATCCCTCTGAAACCTGGCCTTGTTGTGCTCAAGGACACTCTAATGTGACACTGGATTGCCTTCTCTCAAAGATCATTAAGATTTGTTTCCAGTGAAGCCAGAAAATCTAACGAATTGTTGCCTTTGGGTCAACTTAAAGGCATGGCCGTGTTTTGACACATTGGAAGGTAGTAAATAAATCTAAATGTTTAGGGTACGCTGTGTGCATGTGAATGTAACTGAGAATCTCACCTTGAAGCGCCTGTATGGAGTGAACTCTCGTACTTCATCCACCACATACTGGGAAAAGAATGAGTGGTTGAGAACATCGGTAGCTGTGAATCGCTGCTTTGGGTCCACCACCAGCATCCGAGAGATCTGAGGACACCACATAGAGAGTTTTATTCATTCTTAATTAAAACCTTACTGCAGCCTCAAATTTTGACGTCACTAATTGTCATAAGTGATATCAATACTTAGTCCAGGTTGAAAGGGCAAGCTGTGTTTAATAATTTTATTCTTTTATTTTGTTTACATAACCCAACTAACAAAAGTCAGGGTGAAAAACAGCCTACCAAATCTTTAACGGTGTCTGAGCGGTCTTCCCATTCTGGAGATGAGAAGTCGTAGCTCCCGGCCAAGATCATACGTAGCATCAGCATCTGTTTCCTGTGCCAGAAGGGCGGAGAGCCTGCAAGCAGCGTGTACATGATCACCCCTGAACTCCATCTGCAGGCATGAACCAGAGGAAAATCAAACTCACAACGTGTGAGTTTTCATGTTGTACACAAGCTTACAGACACAATAGACTGTGTACAGTGAGTTGAATATAGTTTTGACATTGCTGCTGCATTTGTACATTGGCTTTCTTTCTACTGCGTCGCGTGGTTTTTGTCTGCACACTCACATGTCGACTGCAGCACCATATCCTGCGTGCCCTGTGTCCATGGAGCACGCGATGATCTCAGGAGCGAGGTAACCAGGGGTCCCACACACCTCTGCATTACACACACGTCAAACTTGTGAACTTTCAGAACCCACAAAGCTTATAAAATGTTTCACCACTTGGGCTCTAGCAGAAAATAAAGATTTTTCTTTTTGTGAAAAGGGATCTGTTGTCAGCATTTCTGAGAGTCCAGTTTAATCTGAGGGGTATGGGCGGGAAGACTATAGGAATGGTCAAATGAAGCATACTATTACTTCAATAGAAGTACTGTGGAATTACTTTTTGAAAACTACACAAATGAAAGTTGCTCTATTGAAGATAACTTCAAGAATGAGGTAATGTAAAAGGGTGAACGTCACATCCTCCTGACCATGACCATCCTAATAAGATAATAGATCATCAAAGGAGGTTAAAATTAAGGGCAACTGGACTTGGTTGGAGATACTTGAAGGCGTTTCACCTCTTATTCAGGAGGCTTCTTCTGTTCTGATTGACTGGCAGGGAGTCCCAGGTATTTAACTTCCATGGGGCTATTACCAAGGTGATGGTAACCGCTTGGTTCATTGTTGCTCCTGGCTGTTGTAATGACAGTTGTTATGGTAGTTAGAGTCAATAACCAAGTCTCAACAACCAACGTTGGTATTGTCACATGAGGCCAAGTACCGTTGCCACAGTGGTTTGTCCTCTTGTCCATGGAGTGTAGTCATTTGGGTGGATAAAGTTTTGTAATCCGCTCTTACAATCCAACCTCCGGCACATGGGATGATGTGTTTTTTGGGGTTTTTGTGTTCCTGTTTCCTGTTTAAGTCTGTTTAGTTCTCTGTTCCAGCTCCAGTTTGTATTCTGTATTTTGGTTTGGTCTTGGACTGTCGTCGCTTGCTTTACTTCCTGGTTTATTTTGAAGTTGTCTGTGTCTGGTATTTGTGTCTAGCTTGTCCCTGTGTCTGATTAGTTCCTCATGTTTTCCACCTGTTTCACCCCAACCGGTCGAGGCAGATGGCCGCCCACCCTGAGCCATGCTTCTGCTCGAGGTTTCTGCCTCTTAAAAGGAAGTTTTTCCTTGCCTCTGTCGCCTAGTGCTTGCTCTTGGTGGGAACTGTTGGGCTTCTGTAAATAACATCACAGATTACGGTCTAGACCTGCTCTTTTATGAAAAGCGCTGTGAGATAACTGTTGTTGTGATTTGGCGCTATATAAATAAAATTGAATTGAATTGAATTGAATTGAACCTGTTGACTCCCTCCCTGCTCGTTACTTAATGCCTGTGTTCCTTTCAGTTTGTGTTGGATCATTGTGGTTTGTGTTTGCTCTGCTCCCGCTCCCAAGCTTCTCATGGATTTTTTGGTTCTAAATGGATAACCTGTTTTTGTTGGACTTGTTGTATCTGCCACTATTGTGAGTATGCCTTCAGTTGATTAAATATTGAACTGAACCTGCTCAGCTCTGGTGTCCTGCGTTTGGGTCCTCAACCTTGCTCACACACTGCAAAACCCTGACATGATGTAACGACACAGAAAGCTAAAAGTATGGACATCACTGGTGCTTTCCATTTAGCAAAAATGGAAACAAACACATGGAGCCAATTCCCCTCAAACAAAAATGCATCCAATACAAAAGGACTTTCTTTACAAAATCGGCCATTGTGGGTCAAGCAAACTTGTGAGCTACCAATGCATAACTGTAAAATATTCTGTAAATATTATCCACGCAAAAGTTTTAGTAAATTACCAAATCAAATAATGATTAAATAAACTAGCTAACTCACTCAAATACAGTAACTTGAGTATTTATAGTAACTTTCCACATCTTCAAATGGGTTCTGACTAGAACATCAATAACACTTACCTACATTTGAGCCCAAAATGTGTTTTCTATTGCACCTCATTATGCGTATGGGCACTATTGTGTTGCATGGTTACAGTAGATATGTGCATACACCATGCTGCAATAGGTCTACAGGCTAATGGATCTAAAATGCACATCATATTACTAACTGAACAAAACTACGTGGTGATGTACAATTCCATTAGACATTTGACTTGTCCGTTCCCACTGCTGATGATCTGATGCTTTCTGAGAAGTCTATTTGAAAGGTCAGTGTACTCCGAATGTCTGGGACTACAGCAAGTAGATCGGAGTGTCCTGTTGCATCGTAACCTTTGTAAGAGCAGCTAAGGGAGATGGGAGCATGTTGTGCAACCAGACCCAGATTCTCTGCCAACCACCAGCAGCTGCTGTTACTGCACTGTAGTCACTGTATTTTATCAGAGTGGGATGGATGGATAGATATATCTATCTCATCCGCTGAATATTAAGGGGAAGGAGTTTCTGCTGTTTTGTATTTTAGCTGTCCGTCAACCCCTGATGTGGTTAACGTATTTGATTAGTTCAGTGTATTTCTAACAAAGTGAGTGAGTTGGGTCATGTTTGAACCATCTAGATGCAAACCTGTCATTTTCAAATGACAGAAAAATGTTGTAGTAATAATAATAATAGACCTTTGAGCTTCTGTCCCGGCTTGATTTGCACAGCGAAGCCGAAGTCGGTGAGTTTAATGTTCATCTCGTCATCTAAAAGGATGTTCTCTGGCTTCAGGTCCCGGTGGACGATGTTCTGGCTGTGGAGATGCTGGACCACCTCCATCAGAGCACGCATGATCTTCCTAAAACCAAACACCAAAAAGATTTGAACCATTCATCGCCTTTGTCTTAAATAGAAACAACGCTCTCACAGACCTGGTTTCCTTCTCACTCAGAGTAACTTTCTCTGTCAGGTAGTCAAAAAGTTCACCCTTCTTCATCCTGAAGGAAAGGAAAATAAAACTTAGGTGTGTATTTCTGGTTTAAAGCTCAGTCATGTAAAAACCTGAGTTGTGACACTTACAGGTCAAAAACCAGGAAGAAGAAGGCTTTGGATTCATAGCAGTCTTTAAGCTGTACTGCAGAGGAGAGAGACACTTCAGGGACATTCAGTATTGAAGGAAGACAGACCCAACAAAGATGGCTTAAATTCACTGACCTCTTGAGCAGGTTAGTGGGGCATTGTGAAAGACGTTAGTTTTATAAGACTTATCCTGATCTAGACTTTTCCCAATAAAATAAGCATTAATAACCGCTGATACAGTTTCAATTAAAATCTGTGTGGGGGGTGACTGTGCTCACTGATATTGTTCTGCCCGCAAACTTTCTTGAGGATGTCTATCTCCTTCACGGTCGCCTCTCTGATCTCTTCGATCTCCTGTGGAGTTGTTTTGTCAGATGGGGTGATGTCGATGATCTTCACCGCATACTCCTGAGACGTCTGTTTGCTGACGCAGCGACGCACCACACTGCTCACTCCCCTAGGGAAGAGAAAACACGTCGGCCTTCTTATCGACAGCTTTGTCAGGTTACTTATTTCATCAGAAGTTTGTATTTGCGCAGCTGGATTTGTTTGTGCGCTTCACTCAAGAATTTCGCCAACAAACTGAAAGTTTCTATGAAACATGATGGATGTACATCGATCAGCTATAAAAGTGTTTAGGTACCCTTTTTGCTGCCAAAACAGCCCTGATCTGTCGAGACATGGACTCCACTAGGCCTCTGCAGGTGTACTGTGGTATCTGGCACCAAGACGTTCGCAGCAGATCCTTTTATTCCTGTTAATTGCAAAGTGGGGCCTCTATGGATCGGACTTGTTTGTCCAGCACATCCCACAGATGCCCGATTGGCTTGAGATCTGAGGAATTTGGAGGCTAAGTCAACACCTTAAACTCGTTGCTGTGCTCCTCAAACCATTCCTGAACATTTTTTCTTTGTGGCAGGGTGCATTATCCTGCTGAAAGTGCCCACTGCCATCAGGGGATGCGGTTTCCATTAAAGGGTGTACATGGTCTGCAGCAATGCTTACGTAGGTGGTAAGTGTAAATAACATCTACATGAATAGCAGGACCCAAGAAATCCCAGCAGAACATTGCCCAAAGCATCACACTGCCTCTGCCAGCTTGCCTTCTTCACATAGTACATCCTGGTGCAATGTGTTCCCCGGGTAAGTGACGCACATGCACCCGGCCAGCCACATGATGTAAAAGAAAATGTGATCCATCAGACCAGGCCACCTTCCTCCATTGCTCTGTAGTCCAGTTTTGACACTCACGTGCCCATTGTAGGCACTTTCGGCAGGGGTCAGCATAGGCACCCTGACTGGTCTGCAGCTACATGGCCACATACGCAACAAACTGATGACACCTTTCTATCAGAACCAGCGATAAGCGAATTATTGTTTTTTTTTTCCATTCGACCTTCAGTAGCTCCACTGTTGGTGAGAACACCCCACAAGAGCTGCAGTTTTGGAGATGCTCTGACCCAGGCTTCTAGCCATCACAGTTAGGCCAAATTTGTCAAAGTCGCTCAAAACCTTATGCTTGCCCATTTTACCTGCTTCTAACACATCAACTTTGAGGACACAGTGTTCACTTATTTGCTAATTTATCCCACCCACTGACAGGTGCCATGGTAGTGAGACAATCCGTGTTTTTCACTTCACCTGTCAGTGGTCATAATGTTATGGCTGATGAGTGAAGTAGTCAATACTCAAAATGTTTCTTCCATCATACATGTTTTTCTATGTATGCTACACAGAACATTAATCTAATCCATGGAAGATAAGCCTCATCTTGAAGTTTATTATCATAATCATCATTCACTTCAAGCAACACGGCCTGAGCATGAAGTCACTGACTGAAATGTAATCCATTTCAGAGGTTACTGAGGCAACAGTCTCCCCTGCGTGTGAAGCTGTCTGAGCCATGTGAGGAGTACTACAGCATCTGAACACATTGTCCACATCCTGTGACCTGCATGTGAGAATGTGGAGTGAAATTACATAATCTCACAGCGTGCCGCCCAATCCCGGGCAGCTCTCGACACTAAACCTTTGTCCAAAACACGTTCAAGTCAATGAATGCAGCCTCCTCGAACATTGTGTGCTTATGTAACAGCGCTGCTGTCTGACAGTTGGAGGGGAATGACAATGAGAAAGGTCTGGCACTGCCAAGATTTCTCAGGGAAACCAGTCAGCTTGTTTTTGTCAAGTGCACACCAAAAGTGATAGTTGTTCAAACAGGAGTCTCAAATAAACATTACTAAAGTGTTGAACTGTAATACATTGTATTTTGCTGTTAAATAAAATGTTTTAATCTGGAAAAAGTTGTGAATTTCTAGAAAGACAATGTTTTTTCACCTAAGATAACTTGGAGTGTGGTTCACAACATTTTTGGCTTGCAGACTAGTTTGACATTATTGGGGAAACATGCATATTCACCTTTTGTTGCCAAGAGTTAGACAAGACTGATATATTATCACTTTCATATCTGTTAAATATAAGGCAACAGCTAGCAGCAAGTTAGCTTAGATTTTCACAAAGACTGGAAACAGGGGGAAACGGCAATCCTGATGCAGTCCAAACAAAGCTTCCTCCGCTGGATGTCTGGCAAACTTTCTTTGTATGGATTAAACAAACAAGATATAGCATGTTAATTAGTGAGCGAAAGAGCCAGGCTAGTGGTTTCTCTGTATACAGTTTTTGTAGGTATCAATCCTCTCATAAAACTCTCAGCAAGAAAGTGATTATGCACAATTCTCAAAATGTCAAACTATTACTTCAAAATGAAGATGTTGGTTGTGACAAATTCAAAGAAATCATTTTAGAGTCCCTGAGAAATAAACATTGTCCAGTACACAAACATCCTCCTCAGATTTAGCTTGCAACCCCTTGTGGGGGCCCTGACCCCCAAGTTGGGAACCCCTGCTGTAGACTAATTTAAGACTTCATAAACATACCTTCCCAGAATTTCCTTGGGCTCATACTTGTCGTAGAACTCATGGGCTCCCACCCAGTCAGGGATCTCCTCCTCTTTGGTCATGGTGGCTGGGTTGCTGTTTCTGCACAACACCTCTCCTCTTACAGCTCACAACAGGTCACTGACAGAAAGAGTTTGAATTTTCACTGACACTTCACCGCTTTTTATCACAGATACGAAATGAAAGTACTCATTGTGCAGCGGGAGGAACCATGTTAATGTTTACATTGTTAGATAGCATGTTAATTAAAGGGTTAGGGTTAGGGATGCATTAATGTGTAAACAGCACTTTAATGTTGAAGGTCACAGTGAACCCAATTTAACTATAGAACTGGAATGAATGGCTGATTAATCAGTTAATTAATTGCAGAAAATTAACCAGGAACTATGCTGATGAGCGATGGATTGTTTAGGTCACATTTTATGCAGAAATGACAAACATTTGCTGGTTGCAGCTTCTCAACTGCAAGGATCTGCTGCTCTTCCCTGTTTTTATTGTAGTAAATTGTATGTGTTTTTGGCAAAACAAGCATATTTTCTCATTATTTTTTGGCATTTCATAGAGATTAATAAATTGCAGTCTAATTGATAATGAAAAGAATCACTAATTGCAGCCCTAACTAGCCACTTTATATACTGTTGGTTAGATTAATCTGTAACAATACATCAAGTTTTATAAATTAATGATTTAGTTTGTATGTAAAAATAACCAGCAAAGTAACTATAAAATCTGAACACATATAGTAAAGTGGAAATGTAATGTAGTAGAGTAGATCCATAAAAGAATAAGGTGTATATACTCAAGTAAAGCACTAATGTCTCAAAATTGTACTTGAATGCAGTACTCGAGAACATGTACTTAAATATTTCACCACTACTAGTCGCCTATGTTAATGTTTTAAATTCTGCACCCATCTCCCAGGTGGTGGCACTATTCATTTCACACATTCAGTCAGACATGGGACTGAACTGTAGTAGGCTAGTAGCCTATTAACATTGAATTGCTTAATTTCCATTGGAAGAGGCTGGGCTTTGATCTTTTTATATACAGTCTATGGCTCTGATCTGAATATTTTATAAGCTCTAAAGCCTGTCCGACATCAAAATCATTTAAATAAACAAACTGATCATACTACACAGATCGATGACTGAAGAGGATTAAATGAAAGTGAATTGTTTCATGCACATATCACCTCACTCTTTAAATTAAAGGCTGTTTCGAGATGTATAATTAAGGGATTCTGTTACCTGGTGTAGATAAGACGCCTTTGCCAGTATCGACGGCACTGCCGCTTTAACAGGGTTTGTGAACTTTTGAGAGCTCCGTCTCACTCGTGCGACTTGTAACATGATCTAATGAGCGACCAAACTAAAAGGCATGGTCCCAAACGTAATGCCACACCTGACATTATCATTTGGTGCAGACTAATAAAGCGATATGCCACAGACCGTCAACTACATCTCCCCCCTCATCCTCTGTCACCATTTGACCTTCTGCGGGCTCCAACATTAAAATGCATTAAAGGAAACAACGCCCGGTCGCTCACCGTGTCCCGTGCTGCTCAGTCCCGGTGATAAGGAATATTCGTCATTATTTCTCGGTCTGCTCACAAAGTGCAAGAGGGCGAACAAACAGGTCCAGTAAAACCCCGGTGCTGTAGCAGCTTTGTGGGGCCGCTAACACCGCGAAGGGTGAGCTTTAATGTCAGATACCAAAAATAACTATCTGCTTCCACAGCAGCAGCAGGACACTCTGAACGCGTGTCCGCACAAAAACCAGATCCATGAAAGAACACCCGGCAGGCCCTGCCCTCACCGTGAGACACGCACAGACAGGGCAGTCCTACATTACCAGCATTACTTCACATGCAACATTCATCTGGCAGATTTGCACCGAGGCAGGAGTGGCGGGACAGGTGCTGTCCCTGCTATGTAGCTGTTAAATTCTAATTAAAGAAACTGACTGTAAAAATAGAAACGTTTCTTTAAGAGTACAATGTCATAATGTGGTCTATCTGAACAGGCAGTGGAATAAATCAGTCTTTATGATTCAAGTGCTTTATTATTATTATTATTATTTTTAAACCTGAACTTCTGAAAACCTGTGGCTATCCATCATCCAGACGGTGGAAACAGGTTTATCATGATCTACAAATGCAATTCACACATAGATCCTTAAATTTAAAGCACTGGCGCTAATGAAAAACTGAAATCCGAGCATGCAACACCAAAATATATAAACATTATTTATAAGGTTATTATTACAAACTCTGCAGAACTGTACTGAGAAATTAATACAACAATGCAGTCTGATGATAAATCAACTGTCAAAAAAACCCAAACATGTTTATTGATCTCTTGTGAATTACACCCGCTAAGTATCCAGTATGGTTGCTAATTGCAGTTTGTGTGCACTCCTTGCGCTCCAGGTTTTTGTCTCAGTCTCATGACAGACCTGTGGAGAAAAGACAAGCTTAATTTGATGTGTTCATCAAGTTTTATCCTACAGTACAAGAAAAACAAAAGCTGGTTATATGAAGCATTTTAAAGCCTTTGCAGCTACTCCACCTTATGGCCACACTGGGAACTCAAACACAATGCAGCCATGTGCTTAATGCAAAGTCGTTTGGCTATGAAGTCTGGAGTGCTTCTGCAAAGCCTCCTTGGTTTTAAGTATAAAAGTACAGCAAACAACAAGACTGCAGACACAAAGGATTGATCCGATAAGAGAATTACAAAATAAAAATAGACAAATTGTAATGATACAATTACATTAGTGGCCTGAGACTGCACTGTACGGCTGCCAGACAGTCCTTTCAATAAGCTTTAAACCTTTATGTAACCGAATTTAATTCAAATGGCCAGACGTGTTTCCAGTGTTACACTTTTCACTCACCGTTAGCAAACTTGCACTGTTTAAGCACCTCACTGAAGCCCTCGCAGAGTTTGTAGTCGCTCTGGTTTTGGGCACAATCGATGAACTGTTTGAGCTCATAGGAGCAGGCCTGCTGTTGCTGAGGGGCCTGTTGCTGGTACATGGACTGTGGCTGCTGCTGGTACGGCTCCTGAAAGACACAAGGCACATGATGGGATCCTTCACGCGTGTACTGTACATTTGGTATTTTATGAGCAAGTTCGTGCTGATGAGGGACAACTGCAACACACGTTTCTATGTAAACATCAATCTGTTTCAGTTTACACATTAATAAAAATTGACATCTTCTATCAATACTTTGAGAACATTTCAATACAACATCTATAAAATGTTGAATGCCTAATACAGAGCAAGTGTCAAAAGGTTTGAAGACGCTCCATGTCAAGACATGACAAATGGTTATGTTTTACACTTTTCCGTAGAGATTTTTATTTAAGACAGGCAAGCAAGAGAGCGAAGTACAATCAGTCAGCACACAAATTACCTTAATACCTACTGTGCATATGCCCAGGTAGAGGTAATAGTATGATTACATGGTTCACAGCAATCTGACGGACATAATAACATTAATTTAAATTAGTTGGTAGCCTGCAAGCATTTATGAATGGAAATTCATTGGCGTTTTTATGTCAATTACTTATGTAACAGAAAAACTGCTTCACCGACTTCCTCTACCACCAGCCATGTCTCAGTTTTTGATGTTTGTTTCATCACTACTTTTTCTCCCCCACCAAACCCCAAACCTGTTATTTTGTTACCATCCTTCCACACTAATCCAGTCCTGTGACCTGCTAAATCTATTTACCTGGTATGTGACGTCAGGCTTGGCAGCTTCGGAGTTTCCTCCACCGAAGCCTCCAGTCATGGCGTGGCCGATGGTGTGTCCTACTGCAGAGCCCACAGCCACTCCAGCGGCTGTAGTCGCCATCTGGGCAAACATACCAGGCTGCCTGGGTGCTGCAGCTGGAGCGCCCACCGCAGATGGAGGAGCATGCATTGGAGCCGGGGCATAAGAGGGAGGAGGTGCAGCCCTGGCCATAGGTGGTGGTGATGGTGGCGCCCTGCTGTGAAGAGAAAGTCATTTTAAAAGTACAGTCAACAACAGACACTACCTGTATGTGCTCCTATAAGTTTTTCCAAATTAGTTTGTATTTGTAACATTACTTACTTAAAACTCAAGTCTTTCTCCTAACTATGAAACTATGGCTAAACAAAAATAAAGTCTTAATTTAGAACCAGGTTAAAGGTAAACTTATTAAACTTAACTATGACTTGCATCAAATCATACCTGTCAATAGTTTTATGTAACTCCACTGTTGTTGTTGGCGTTGTGATGCCACAAAACAGGTAACATTGTTTACAGACCATGACGCAGATTATCCTGTGACCTTCATTATTTATGTCAATGACTTTTGCGCAAACACCAGTTTGCTGGCACAACAAGAATACATCTAGTACAAATATAATCATTAAAAGTTAGTTCTAGCTGATAGTCAATAGTCATTTCACTGACTGGCAGTAGCACACGCTCACTAACACACGTTAACTGTAACGCTAGCCGACGGCTACATTAGCCTACACACCATCCTCTCTGCTACACATTTTACCACACGACATGTTAATGTTACCTTGCAGGGGGAGCCATCCTGGATGTTCGGCTTCTGCTTCCTCTGGGCATTTTTAAATTATTAGTAGTGACTTTGCTGGCTGTAAAAACAAACGCGACACTAAGTAGGTAAGCTCACTGTTATCTCACAGATATATGCCGACCTTTGGTTGTTCCGGAACCTTCTGTGTTACATCATTTGTCTCACGGGTAACTTCCGGTATGCTGCGTCTTCTTCTTCTTCTGTAGTTTTGTCAGTTAAGCGCTCCATTACCGCCGACTGCTGGGTTGTAACAGTTTCACAGTGCGAACTACCCAAAGTGATCCCATTCACAATTATTGTCAGTCTGGTGGTGGTAAATATATAACATTGTTCATTCTATTTCAGGGATGCTTCATAATAGCCAATGAGTTTTGCCTGAGATTAGAATAAAATAATAATAAAAGTAAAACGTTTTTGTGTGTGTCTCACAAAAGCCTTCCATTTTTTTGTTTAGTTTAACGATGATGACATATTTCTTAAAAAGGTGAACTGTAGGCTGCATTTCACAGTTAATTCTGATTAGTGTTTTAAATGGCATCCTTTTTAATGTAAACATGTGTTCAATATTGTAAATATTAAAAAAATATGTAACTTGCTTGCTCATCTCACACGGTGCTTCAGACTCCTCTTTTGAAAAACATGTTTGCTGCAAACATTGCTGCAACAGTTTTTCAGCAAAGTACAACAATAACGTCTGTCAGTCCCCCAATTATCCTGAAGGAGGAAGGATGGAAAAATCTTTGGGGAGGCATATTCAGCTAACAAATTAGTCTTTGTGGTGTAAAACAGTAATTGAGAATGTCATTTACATGAGTTTTGTTTTCTCGCTACAAATCCATCCATCTTCATCCGATTATCCAGGGTCGGGTCGCGGGGTCGCTACAAATAAAATGGTAATTTGGTAGTTAAACAGTGACTGTTAGGCTGTTTATAGCATAAAAGCATTACAGACACTGCACAAAACAAAAAACAACAATACATTTCTGTAATTAATAGGTTTATTATTTAGTGAACATTATTTAGCTTTCGGTTTCATTCATTCAACAAAAATATCTCGTCAAATACCAGTACATTATGGTTATGACAAGCTTTTTTAGAAGCGTACAATCAGGTATGTACTAAAACAAAGAATAATGCAAACAATTATAGCTATAAAATTATATCATATGCAGCATTCACTGCTTCATAATAAGGATTTAAATAACAAAAACTTGTTTCTCAAATTGGGCAGTAAATCCAAAGACGAAAAGAGACGTTAGTCTTTTTTCCCTTTCTTCTTTTTATCTGAAAATCTACGTCGTTGATGGTGCCCATTTCCTCGTCCTTTCTCTCTTCGCTCTCCCCATCCTGGCATAGGTGGCTCAATTTCCCCTGGTCGTCCTCCTCTGTCTGGTACTTCGCCCATCAACATCTAGAGAGACCAAAGAAAAATTAGAGAACCATCTGCACTCTGAGCTAGAGACGTCTTTGTAGCTGTTAATGGTCGTACCTGGTAGATGGGAGTGCTTGTTCCAGCCTTGATTGGCTCCATGAAGGACTTATCTTCTCTCGTAGCAATCAGAAGAGACGGAGAGACGAGGGAAGAGCCGGCGAGAGAGGAAAGAGGAGCCACTGAGGCCAGCACTTTACTGCGTTCCTGTAAAGAAAGGACTGATTGACCTGGGATGTTTGTTGTTATCATGACACAGTGATGCTTTTGTTTTGTGCTCAGATATCCTCCTGCAGCAAGAGAGCGGATTAGTCAACTGAAACGTAGTCTGCACGAATTCTAACAATCGATTAATATTTTAAAGGTTCAGTCAGTGTGTAATATTTAGGAGGATCTATTGACAGAAATGCAATATAATACACATATCTATGTTTTCACTTTAAAGACTTTACATAATGAACCATTATGTTTTTATTACCTTAGAATGAGCCATTTCTATCTACATACACCGTGGGGCCTCTTACATCAATGTCAACATGTTGGACCGCCATGTTTCTACAGTAGCGCAAATGGACAAACATATCTATAGAGCGCGTTTCGTCACTATGTTGAATACATATACGAAAAACAAACAGTGGTAGTAGTACTAGTCGTCTGGTTTGGAAAGGGAGGGGTGAGCGGTGTCTGATGGTGCATTTATGTGGGGTCGGAATAATCCTCCTTAAATCTTTATTGCAAAAAGAGGAATAAAGTGTAAATGGGACATAAAAAAGTATAAAGAAAAGTGTACAAATATATGAAGACACACAAATAATAGTCTATGTTATAAAATGATATTAATGTAGGACCATATGTTTACAGTTTTCAAAGCCTTTTTGTTGTTGTATTTAGAAGTTAAATTAATGTAATGGAGAAAAAGTACAAAGTCAGGTTTTTTTACTGCTGAATTTAATTTGCTAATTGCCATTAGAATTAATACATTTATTATAAAGTATTTATTTTGTCCAAGGAGCAAGTGAATGCACAGTGAGCCATTTGATGCAATTTTCAACCCTCACCACTAAATGGCAATAAAACTTACGCACTGAACCCTACACCCATACATTTTTATCCATTCTGGCAGCTGCTAACCAAGCTGACCATTATACCAGCTGAGGTAATTGTTTTGCTAATAGGGGTGGAACAGTAGACTTATCTCACAAGACGAGACAAAACACGACCTTAGATTCACAGGAACGAGACAAGATGATATTTTAACACTTTTTTAAAGATATCTTTAATGCCGAATTATATGACTGGAAATATTGACTTTTTATTCCACTGAAAGTCAAAAAATGCAAAACAATTCAGGTGCATTTTGAAATGTTGCTTACATATTGTTGTGTCTTTTCTGTCACTCTGTCACCGCGTTCTTGTTTCCACCGGGTACCCAAAATGCTGCCACACAAGCGATTTAAAAGTTGCGAGGAATCTTCTAAGGTAATTTCAGTCTCACACTCGGTCATGCTGATATCGTCAACTCAATGAGAAATATAGTCACATTAAATATCGCAAGATCTCATGGTAGTAAACCTGTATGTTTACTAGATTAGCTACAGTGTTATAACTCATGTGGGGACCGGATGTTAATTCACTGGTGACACTTTGTTTCATCCTGGTAGGCAGCATAATATGTGCTTAATAATAGCTATAGCTATAATAAGCTGTCAAACGTAAATGTTACTACATTAATTCATTTTTACAGTACCTTTGGTGTAAGTCGTTTATATTTCATCTTTGTTTATGAATCACTATCAGTGAATTTGTTGTATATTAGTGTTTTCACAGTTTCACAACTGCTTCCAGTAAAAACCCAAAAGTCCAACTCCTTTTCTTCAACCTTTATTGGACATATGTGTGTTTTTTTTCTTGCTGCATAGCTCTGCACCTTCACACAGAGTGAGTTGCAATGAATAAAACCCAACTAACAACCAAGTAACTTTGGCTGTTTTTAAAGTGATGCAGTGATTGAACATGCCTACCTTTTGTTTTTCTCCCCATGCAAATGACTCCAGTGTAACCTGGAAGCGTTTGATCATCATCTGTCGACGACACTTGTAGTCCTTTGACAGAACTTGATTAAGCTTTTGAACTTGCATCTGAGAAACAGGAAGGAGAACAAAATGGTTGAAATACTCAGGTTAGAGTTATATGGTATGTGTAATGAATGGGTAACAGCCTTGGCAACATACCCACTGCTCTGAGCTGAGGACGGTGTTAAGAAGAGGGTTTGTCATCGCTCCACATGGTAGACGAGCAAGCCTCGACTCCACCTGCATTAAAATAACATTAAAGAGATCCTGCCAGTGCTTCTCAGTTTGAAGTCATGACTTATACACAGCCCAGTCTCTCTTATATCAAGACTTACCTCACTCAACACATCTGTAAATGGAGAGGTGGTGTCCATGTCAAGGGCGCGCAGCAATAATATCCATTCTGCTTGTATCTCAGCCTTCCTTTGGTCTTTATCGGAAACATCGTCGTCTTCATATTCCTGACAAAACTCAGCGAGTTCATGACTGTGATCTTCAACTCGCTGCTCTTTTTCAGACTCCTCCTTTGTTGTTTCCTCCTCAGAATGCAACCCTTTATACTTGATTATGTGAGCTGCTTGCAGTTCTGATACGAGGAACTCTGAAGGATTTAACAATAATTTTAAAGTCAATACACGCCTTAATTTAAAAAGTTAGGGAGGAAATGTACAAATCCATGGGTGCTACGATCATCTGCTTTTTTCTACAACACACCCCAGTGGACTCCTAATATTTCTCACCAGTGACTTTGTTGAGGATGCACGGCTCCAGCACCCGTGATGTCAGCTCAGTGAGGGGAGAGAACATGTTTGACAGTAAATGTCTCAGCTCTTCCACCAGCAAGACATCACGCGTCCTGTTTGAGTCTAAAAAAACAACAAAAGGAAAGACAAGGCAATTTTTATTCCATTAGAAGTAAATTCACAGTGCTTTATATTAAAGTACCATATTAAAGTATCCAAGTACAAAGGAATACGCTATTTTTCTGTACAGTTTTGAATTTATAATATAGTACACATCACCCTGCACTTTCATTTGTACATTCTACAACTCTTTGTAATTTGGATCTCCCTTTGTTCAGTTATGTATGTATAGTTTTTCTATTAGAAGGTACATTTAAATATCATCCAATATTAATTGCAGATGGTATCAATGTACAGTATATGTTGACCATTGACTAAGAGAAATTGCAGTACAGAAATGTCAAATACATGCTTGAGGTATTTTTGAAACAGATTCACCAGTTTGTCTACAAGAACGCACTGACAAGTTTTGTTTTGACAATTTGCCGACTCTAAAATGTCGCATCTAGTATTTAATGTGGACACAATTTAGGGATCCCTATCAAAAAACCTATGCATGTAAAAACATTAAAGTACTTCCAATATATCATTAACCAGATCTGTATGTTATTTTACAAAGACGTCTGCCTGGACTGTAGCTTACTGCATCAAACACCACAAAAAACACTCTGCACATCAGACAGAGGTTTGTAATAATAACCTTGCAGCTCTGGACAGAGAGCCCTCAGCTCTGCAGTCAGCCAGGTGAGCAGCGGACAGGGCAGTTCGTCACATTTACACCGTGTGAGGCAGGAAACGCCCGGGTACCTGTCCAGGAAATAAAGACTACAGGTAAACTTTCATGACGGCAAGTGTCTTCATATACCGGAAAGGCCAGAATATTGATACAACAGTACATTGAGCAGGCTGCTAACAATGAATTGCTTATACATGACAGGTAGGTAGGTAGCTAACTTGTATCAAACTTAGCATTAGCTTCAAACGTGTTGCTATCAATTAATGAACGTAGGTGACTACACATTAAACGACAAATCTGTTACTTACCCTAAAGCTTTAATCGCTGACACTGTCCCTACGCTCCTGTTCATTGTTACTGGAAAACAACTCATATATGTTGCACTATAGCAGCTCGACCCAACTGAACAAAGTTCAGGTTCAAGCGTATTTCGGTTTAACCACAGTGGTTCCTCCTTTTACAGTCTTTAATGTTGGGTCACATACCGCCACCTGCTGGCCGGAGGTGGAACAAGTACTCAGATCTAAAGTAGTAAAAGTAGCAGTACCACATTGTAGAATTACTCAAGTACAAGTAAAGGTCATGCATTCAAAATTGTACTCATTCATGAGTACATCTTATGTAAAATAGCCCATTTCAGAAATATATAGGCTACATAATATAGATTATATTGCTTTAATGTTGGAGCTGGTAAAGGTTGGGATCATTTACTTTATATACTAGTAGTTTGGGAATTTCCCCCCAGGGATCAATAACATTTTATCTTAGTCTAGAATATTACATCATAATTTGTTTGTTGATTTATGTTTTGTATAATTCATCTCAATCCACAAAGTAACTAAAGTTGTCAAATAAATGTAGTAAAGTCGAAGCAGGCGATAAAGGAAAAAAGAAAAAAGTAAAGTGAAGCAGGGTAGGCAAATGTATTTCACCACTGATCAATACTACACATGAAATAATATAAACAAAAGTGAGCTATAAAATAAATACAAGAAAAAAGTAAAATAAAGAACATATAGAGAAAAACCATGTGTTTAAATAATATTAAACCATCTCTATATTTTAGGTGTAGATTTTGAGTAAATAATGATAAATTTTATTTATACAGCACATTTCAAAACAAAGTTTCAAAGTGCTTTACATGGTTGAACCAGGATTAAGACATTTCAGGACAACAATTAGGCAAATAATAATGGACAATTAAAATAAGCCAAAAAATATAATTGAATAAGGTATCCAACTATAAGATGAAACAGATAAGACATGTTGGAAATAAAAAAGTGTGCTAACATTAATACATTTTAGTAGCAGATTTTTTTTGAAGTGCCATATTATTTTCAAAAGCTTAAAACTGTCCATAGTGTGAAAGTAACGATTCCCACTTAACAACTCTCTTTTGTCATTTTCAAAACCTCTTCGTGTCTGACAAGAAACTTCCTCTCTTGACAAAAAGACAAATCTGGGAGACTAATATTATACGTTTTACAGTTTCCATCATAACTCTCCTTGAGCAAATCAGTCCTGAAATAAATAAAGTGATGTGTTTTACATTGTTGTCCAGAAGGAGCCACTAGAGATCTGTGATGGACTGTTAAATTACATTTAAACCAAGTAGACCTACATTTACTCAAGTGTTGCGATTAAGTGCTACACATACTCAGGCTCAATAGGGTTCACCATGCTTCACAGGTTGCCACTGGAGTCCTCTTCCACTCCTCCATGACGATATCACAGAGTGGGTGGATGTTAGAGTCCATGTGGTCCTCCACCTTCCGTTTGAGGATGCCCCACAGATGCTCAATAGGGTTTAGGTCTGAAGCCATGCTTGGTCAGTCCATCACCTTTACCCCCAGCTTCTTCAGCAAGGCAGTGGCCGTCTTGGAGCTGTGTTTGGGGTCATTATCATGTTAGAATACTGCCCTGCGGCCCAGTCTCCGAAGGGAGGGGATCCTGCTCTGCTTCAGTATGTCACAGTGTGTTGGCATTCATGGTTACACTCTGTGTAATAGTAATATTAATCCAGAAACATCATATATAATAGTGAAACACTGACAGGGACGTTTTACTGCATAATGAGTTATTTTACTTCTGATGCTTGAAGATAATTTTGCTCATAATACTTGCATACTTTTACTTAAGGAAGGTTTTGAATGCAGGACTTTTACTTGTAGAGGAGTATTTTCACTGTGTGGTATTAGTACTTTAGTTAACAAATAATGATTAGGAGCCTTGCACAGAGGAAAGCATGGGCCCTCCCTGAATCCCAACACACTACCTAAGAACACGAACACAGGAGGGGATCTTTCCTGACTGAGAAAATCATTCTATATAGTGCCACTAACCAGACGTTAGCTCTGCTACAGTACTCTCCTCACCTTCATTACGATCAGTGTCTGTAATATTTTACCGCCCTTTACTCTGAGCATAATTCGGCACACTCAGCACTCTCAACATCATTACAGGTCTTGCTGATGCAGGAAGTACAGCTAAAGTTTGCTTCAGTAGAGCTGCTTGGACACACAGACAGCATTATATTCAGTGTTATTGTTGTTGTAAAAAAGCACTAGCAACATCATCCAAGCTCTCATGATTGTGCTTATGTAGCGTTGAGTCAATTCCTCAACACGTCCTGCAGAAGCTCTTACAGCAGAAAACCTTAAGTGGCCCCGTCACTCTGAGAGCAAAGTGGGAAAGTCCTTTGTAATCTGATTCAGTAGAGTTTATTTATTGAGGTAATTTGTAGTGGTACACGGTGAAAGCAGTTCTTTTGTGAGAGTCTTTTGCCTAATAAGACTGCCCCTTCCTCTGACGTGTGACTGTAAGCAGACACGCTCAGGCAGACAAACACACCTGCTTCATTAGCTTTGTCTGGATGGGATGTTGTGGCTGACACTAAAAGGCCTCCTCTCCTCTGTGTGCACATGTGTTCCTGTTGGGCGTCACTACAGGCGGTATGTTCGTCACACTTACGGCACAAACCCCTCCGTCCGCTGCCTATAAACTGAACAGGAACAATGAAGACATCCACAGTGGACATCAAGGCTGATCTTCCAACGTTTGCTTCGACCCTCCTGCCATATGTACAGAAGCCTGAGAACAAAAGCCTCGCCATGCGTCAGGATGCTTCATCTTTTATTCTTCTGACACTGCCCCCCCCCCCCCCCCCCCCCCTTTACATGAAACCTTGTGGGGGGCTGAACTTTGAACTCTGGCAAGCGGCCAGACAAACAGGCAGACACTCCCCTCAGCCCAGCAGTCCTGATCATGTACGGTGGACTTGTTGGGTGGACAGATGACTGAAACAGTGGTCTCCTGTAAGGAATTATTACTGCAACACTTCAAATTATCATATAAATATCATATCAGTATCTTTCTTTAAAATATATGTTGGGCATCCAAATAGTTTTTTGATTAAATGTGCAAAACTATGGCACCCCCAAGGGGACATGGGTGTGCACAATAAATTATCTTGTGCTCATGGTAAAATATCCTGTGGCACCGCATATTTCCTTGTGCACACCAGACACTTCCTCATGTGCACCAGATACTTTGTGTTGGGCAGGTGAAATGTGATCCCCTCCCAATGTCCCCTTTGGGGCTGCATACAAAACAGTGCAGTGTTGGGATAGACAAGTTTTATTGGAGTGTTTTGTAAAATGAAGGGTTGAGTAGAAATTTAAATTCTCTATCAAGGTATATGAAAATGTGTTACACAAAAATCGATATATTATTATATATTGGAAAATCCATTTAGAAAAAATAACCAGACAGAGTGTCTTTGTTTGGTTAATCCAGCATATGAAATACTGATAGATCCAAGTACTTAATTAAATTGATGCAAAAAATTATATAAAACTCTAATATTGTGATGAAATGTTATAATCAAATAGAATCTCTCACACTTTGTTTTTTAAGAAGTTCATAGAGAATGCCATACAGCTATATGAGTAAATGTAATGTAATGTAAATAGTCAGGGCACATTTGAACCAGCAACAGTAAAACCAAGATGATATATTATGTAAACTGAGCTGCTTCATAACAAGACAAGATATAAGCTTGTGTGGTGTGGAACTGATGATACATGGATTTGTTTTGCACAGCTAGATAAACGAAGTGAGAGAGAGATGTAAGATCCATAAAGATAAGGATAAGCAGTTGTATCAGAGTGGAAATGATAGATTTTCATGCTCATCTAGTTTAAAGACAATTAAAAGCAAATATGCAATCTAACACATCAGTAATAAAGTAAATAGTCAGTGAAACCTCTAATTGTACTTTATTTTTATGTTATAACTTAAACATCTTGAGTAAATTAGCGTTCATTGCATTTGATCACTTCATGCAGGAGTTTCTGTGCTTGGTGTTCACTCTGTGTAATTTTCCACTATAATGTAAGGACAGGTGTTGTCAGTGGGTTGGTAACAGTTGCTCAGGTGACTCAAGGCAACTCCCCCTGCAGACGGACAGACAGTCATCTGCGGCTGACAGACGGAACAGCCTACTTTCACTGTAGAGCTCAAACCTTCAGCTTTATCCAAACAGAAAGCTGTGAGGTGTCATGGATGGACGAAGTATCCACACATTTATGCGACTATTTCAGCGAAAAACAAGAACAACATTTATTTAGCGCGCTTTTGAATTTAACCCTCGGTTATGGATCGTCTGGATGAATGGAGCTTCAAGTCTAAGAAAATGGACCTGGAGGACTTCTACTTCGACTACGGAGCGGAGGAAATAACAGATTATCAAGACCCCATTGAACTTCTGGCTGCTTTGAAACAAAAGGAGGAAGAGGTTATTTTGGCAGCCCAGCTGGGAAACGCATTGCTCCTGGAAAACCGTCAGTTGAAAGATCACAGCGACAAACTTCATGAACAATACGCAGACAAACTGGAGGTAAGACTAATCTGCTTTTATTACGGTGCGGAGCAGTGATATAGCTCAAATTAGTGGTGTATGATGAGAGGTTATGAAATGTGTGGTTTAGAAAGAATTGACGACGTGGTCACTGTTAATGTTGCGTGGTGAAAATGAAGTGAAGTTTCCTGCATGAGGAGAATAAAGGATATAGTCTAACGTTACACTCAATAATAATGCGTCAAAATATGCGTCTTTACTGTGTTGTAGAGCAACTTTGGGAACAAACTGAATCCAGTAGACTAATATCCTCCACATATATCTTGGAGTATTACAAGAAAATTTCTATTTTTTTCTTCAAGAATATAGGTATCACAAATTGTACCAACCATTTATTCGGATACAGATACACCAGCTTCGCAGTTTCTTTATTGTTATATGTCCAAATATATGCAATATATGACAAAATGATGGAGAAAATACAGATGGATGTGGTGAGAAACCATGTGAATAATACAAAAGACCTTACATCATCCAATATAATCCAATATCAATCTCAATATATTAGATATTCAAAGGAAATCTAGTGTAAATGTATAGAGGAATTTACATGCTCATCATTAAAGCAGCTGTCATTTAGTGTAAACTGGCAGAAAAGTTGGTTCCACTTCAAATTGTTTACTTTACTGAACTTTCAGTTTCATGCCTCTTTATTCTATTGTCCTCTCTCTCTCTGTTGTGCTGTTCCAGTGACCACAGCAGTATTTCCATCTTAAGAGACACATCTGTGCTGAAATCTTTCTCAGGCATCTTCACTAGTTGTGAAAGATACTAACTCCTTAATGAGACCTCAGCAGTTAACTTCTGCCTCTACACAAGCAGATAACAGCAGTTACAGTCAGCAGCAAGGCCCACAGATGCCCTCAACGCACCCACACTTGAATTGACTTTGTGATGATTCTCCACATTTTCTAAATGTCTTTGTTGTGAAGCTGCAGAAGCATCACACACCTGAGCTGTAAGGACAGCCTAAATAATGGCCTCATGGCTTTTCTCAGGTTAACTGCTGCGGTCTTTAATCTTTATCAGTTGTGACCACGACTTAAAATACAGAGTTGGGGCAAACCATAGGCATGGTGTTAATATGACAAGTACTTTACAAAGTGCAATAAAGATGTGGCTTGGACTTATCTGCCTAGAAACAGATGATAAATAGTACTCGTATGGAATATAAGGCTGCAGCTAATGATTATATTATCGATGAATCTGATGATTACTTTGTCAATTAATCATTTGGTCTATAAAATGTCAGAAAATGGGGATTTACGCCCAAATTCCTAAAGCTGAAGGTAGGGTCTTAACATTGCTTTTCTGGAGATAAAAATATATATATTTTACTATCGCATAAGAAAATCATAACATTTGAGAAGATAAAACTGGGGACATTTTGCTTGAAAAATTACTTGCACTATTAATCAATTATCAAAATATTTTTTTGTCTATCAACCTATTGATTAATCGACTAAAAGTTTCAGCTCTAATGGAATATATAAAAACAGATTTCTCATAAATGCTGTAAATTCTCAGTGCATGCCCAGATACTCAATTTTCAGTCAGATCCTAGCTATCATGTATTTCCTATCATCCTTTGCAGCTCTGAACGAAGCTCACTGGCACACTTTGAAGATAAAATGTTATCATTGTAATCATCCTGTTGCCGATAATGATAATTTCCAAGCGTTATAGTTTCAAACCAATGCAGATCATACATTCGCTTATATGTTGAAATAACTGTGATGAATCTTTCCAACCCTGTGTAGGAGCTGGAGCAGGGCAGGCATGATCTGCGACTGAAGCTAGAGGGCTGCCAGTCCCAGTGGGAGAGCCAGGTGGGGGACCTGGAGAGGGATGTGAGGGAGCTCAGCGCCCAGGTGGAGCGGCTCACACAGGCCCTCAGCGAGGCAGAGAGGGACAAGAGTAGAGCCCAGCTGGAGCACAGCGAGCACTCTCAGCGACTTAGGGAGCAGCTCAACACCGTGAGTCCCACACATGGACAGCAGCCAGTGTGTGAATTTTAATGTCTGCATCACGTGAACTGAGGGGAACTATAGAGCTTGACTCCAAAGTAACTGAGCCACTGTGAAAAAAACACCTGAGTTCTGGCTCCAAAGCTTCAGGTCTTCTGAGTCATACTAGATAAGATGGGCTTTCATCCAATCCACACTCTGAAACTCAATGTTCTTTTCAAACGACTCTGGTATCAGTCTGACTCAGTCTAATCTTCTCTAGAGGGAGGCCAGACTCTCAGTTTCACAGACTCAGAGCTAGGCCATGACAAACTACTTGCAAAGTTTTGATAAAAAAAGAAAGTTTTCCCGACACAGGTACGGACTTTGTCAGTCAGTAGCTGGGAAGTCTGAGCTCTTTCAGTCAAATTATCTGTGCCAGAATGGAAAAGACATGTAAACAAGAAGGGGAGTGACAGTTAATGCCCTGATTTGATTTCAGAACTATAAAAAGAGGGAGGAAAGTTTAGAGAAGCTCTGGAAGATGCTGGTTTTACATTTTACTCCCTTCCAGTCATGCATATTTGTTAATCTGATTTATCGTTTAAGTCACTTTCTGACCAAACATGCCAAACATTCTCTGATTCCTGCTTCTCAGATGTGAGGATCTTCTGCTTTTATATTGTTGTAAACTGAATATCTTTCAGTTTTGGTACTGTTGGTTGAATCAAACAAGATATTTAACCAAACCATTAGTCCTTTGGTAGATTAATCATTATGAAAAAAAAAATCATTATCATTGCAGCCCTGTGTGAGAACATCATAATATTAAACCAGTTTATTTTAGTAACATGAAGTTAACTTTTAACTAAGTGCTTAGATGACATAATGGACAAAGTAACATAAAGCTGACTCATGTGTCAAATTTTGATGATCTACAGCTTTCCATGCTAAGGAAACCGTGTGCACTGGGAAGAAAAATCAAACCAATGACATATTTTACAGCCTCTTATCAGTTAACATGGAGGAGCTGATTGGATCACACAGCCGGACAACCTTGGGTATTTTTCCAGCCTTTGGAAGTAGGGAATGTGTTGCTAAACATGACAGTCGTGACGTGTTGCGTTACACACGACCGATTTGCTTAGTAGAGCAGCAAAATGAACAACAAACCTTGAGCTCTTTTAAAGTTAAAAATGAATCCAAACAACCGTGTGCGCCCTCCCATGAGTCAAAGTCCACAGAATAAGGAACTGTGAATGTCTCTCCTCCCTCTGCACCCAGGCTGAAGGACTTGCCGAGGTAATCAGACTCCCTAGAAGTTCAGGAAAAAGTCAATTAAGATAAAAGCCGTTATTTCGGTTTGGGGCTGTTCAAGGAGGAGGAAGTGGAGAAAATGTTTTGTTTGGCTGTGTGGCACCAGACGTGGGTAACTCTGGACACTGTGTGGTTGTAAAGGCCAGAGCAAAGTGAAGAAGCTCCATGTCTGATGTGTCTTTGCCAGACGTGGTGAAGGGTGCTGCTGCTTCGGTTTCACCGTTGCCCGCTGTGGTGAGTTGTGTCTGTGTGTCTGTATGTCTGTGATTAAGTGTGTTTGTACAGGCACTCCCACAGCTATGATTGGAACATAGCTTTTTGTCCTGTGCGCCCTCATCGGGTTTCAGTTGGCCAGGAATTAAAGGAATTATTTTATTGTCAGTTAATCTGTTGATTATTTCCTTAATCAATCCATTGATTGTTTGTTTTATAAAATGGCAGAACATATTGAAAAATGCTTGTCACAAGTTCCCAGAACCCAAGGTGACGTTTTCATGCGTCTGGAATTGTCCGACCAACAGCACAAAACCCAAAGATATTCAGTTTACTGTCTTTGAAGTCAAATCAGCAAATATTCAAACCTGGAATCAGAGGACAATTTTGGCACCAGGACGTTATGACAACAAATGATTAATTGATTAACAAAATAATCTCTATCCATCAACTGATCGATTATTCCACTTATCGTTTCAGCTCTTGGCTCTAGTAGAGTTTTTGGAGTGAGTTTACACAGTTAATTTGTATCCTAATGTAGTCTCTTGACTCTCTGTCTTTCATACTCAAAAAATTGACTTTAGATCATTTCTGTGTACACTATCTGGAGACTTGTGGATTGTGACTCTACTTATAATGAAGCTCTAGCAGGTTTCAATGAGCTTCAAACTCTATATCCTACTTGTGAGAGTGTAAGCAGAGCATGACAGGAATCTGGAGGAGGGTGCCGTACCATACCGCACAAACCTGAGAGAGAGAGAGAGAGAGAATTCATCATGTTAACCAGCAACGGCAAAGCTCTGATGTGAGAGAGGAAAGATTTGCTGCAGCTCTCCGTCCTGGTGCATTTGAGGAAGCGGCTGCACAAAAACAATGTTGACGTGTGCCAGATCATCACAAGGTTCAGCGCTGACTGTTTGTACAGTTGCTGGAAAGAAGGTGTTAAAATATCAGTGACGTCAGGGTGTTTTTCTTCTATTTACATTACCAATGTTGTCATTGCTGCAGCTGAAGCACAATGTGAGGACACTCAAGAGAAGCACTCATGAGTTTGTCTTTTGTCTGACCCATCTCTTCGTTAATTTATTACTTGACTCTGTGAATATTTAGCGAGGAATATATATAATCTCTGATTATGACGAGGCAGCAGGTTATGAAATTGTTTCCACTGAAGGGAAAAGAAAAAAGAGGTTAGGACATTTCGCTGGTTTAGTTTGACTCTTGTGCAAGAAAATGTTCTACAGCTTAACATCATCAGTAAATTAGAAATTGGGATATAAACACATCTACTGGATAAGAAGTGCCCGACTTGAAAGGGAGTGTGATTATTAGGTGATAAGCTGGAAATGTTGTTTCTTAACTTATGCTATCAATAACACAACTTCAGGACATTGGTTTGGACCTGTGTCAAGTTAGATTAAGTTGAGCCATCAGTCATTCACAGTTTTGGTTACAATGATTTATGTTTGCACCAGCTACTCTGATTCAGTATCCCACAGTCAATATTTAATCAGCATTATCACAGTTCTGTAAGAAAAGAATATTTAAAGTTAGACTTTCCAAATGAAAAAAAAGTGTGACATGAGAGAACAAACACTCAGTTTAGCCAGTTTATTAGGTACGCCTCGCTAAAACTAATGCAGCCTGATACAACAGTCCTGCAATAAATCCTACATTGATAAACTTGATGAATCAACTTTATGCTCATTTTAGAAACTGTAGATTGAGAATCTGGTCAACGGGAACATAATCAGTAACAATTTTGATAATCGATTGCTCATTATAGCCATTTTTTAAGCAAACATTCCAGAAATTTGCAGGCTCCAGTTTCAGAAATGTGAAATGTGATTGTATGCTTTTTTTTTTTTTTGGTGAAACATGATGAATGAACTGAGTATCTATGAGTTCTAGATTTTTTTTGTCAGAAAAAAAACAAGACATTTGAAGACGTCACCTTGGACTCTGGGATCTTGTGACTGAACTTGATTAATCATTTTGTCAATAAAATGCCGGAAAACAGTGCCTGTTATAATTTCCCACAACCCAATAGTGACGTCTTCAAATATGTTGTTTTGTCCAACCAGCAACACAAATCTGAAAAGTTTTTTTAATATTTAGTTTACTTTCACGTGTCACCAAAAAGCTTCAAATCCTCAGGTTTGTTAAAGCTGGAACTTGCAAATATTTGCCGTTTTTGCTCAATAAAGGAATATTTGCTCATCAGAATAGTTGACGGATAAATTTTCTGTCAATTAACTAATTGATTAATTGACTTATTATTGTAGCTCTGCTATTTTTTTGACATTTCATAGTCTAAATGGAGCCCAAATATTTTGTCCATCCCAAATACACATGACTTTTTCACCTTCTGCTTTCTACCCGGTGTTACATGATCACCTCCCCTGGCCGTGGATCACGGTGTGTTATTGGACCACTGTGACAAATCCCTCACTGTGGATTTCCGTTATTGTAAAAGTAGATGCCTGAAAAGAGGCGAGCCCCCATGACCTCTGCTCTCTCTACCAGCATCACGCAGCTCAGGCATAAAGGGAATGCCAATATATTTCAGGGGGAGATATAAATCTTTAATTTGCTTTTTTGATGTTGCCCCTCATACCCAAACATCCCATCATCCCAGGGGAAAGCCGTCTTTTCTGTGTGTCCCCTGAGGGGCTCGGCTGTAGCTTGGGTAGTCAGCTGTTAGATACCTTAGAGTTTGGATTGTTGATGGCCTGAGGCTTGGTGGGGGGGGCCATGTGAGGGGATATCATCTTTGTGTCTCTACCAAATGGAGCGTCCTCCTTCTACTCCCGTGTTGGTGATTCTCAGTGGGTCGCTGCCTCTATTGTAGTTAGGGGCCCATGTTGACGAGACAAGGCAACAGTAATGACTACGTTCATCTTTCAAGCCCCCACCATCTCCTCCCCAAAGTGTGTCTACATGCTATGTTTTGTTTTTGTTCATTGGTGCCTGCTTTACTCTCGTCTCACACACACACTTTTCCCACTAAACCTAGCCCTCGCACCTGCCTCACTTAGTCTGTGCACTCCTACCAACACGTACACACAAGGTATCCCCTCCGCTTTACCCTCATGATGTCCAAGTTTACCCTCCGCCAAATTGTTGTCTAATGTGGCATGATGATGTCACAGACAGGACCAAGATGCCATCCGCTCCATCTGCCACAGGGGCCGGCCTTTCATCTTGTATTATGTGGCAATGATGGGACTTGACAGGGGCCCGCCAAACTGCTGAGTAAGGGGAACTGCAGGTCCCCAACCAGGACGGGGGTGGGGTGGGTGGTTTGGGAGGCTTCAGAACTAGCACAGCAGTGCTCCAAAGATTCCTGCGTTTTTAGTTTTTATTGTTACAAAGTCATCTTGTGTTTCAGAGGTAATTTTTGACAAAGTAGCTGATTTTCAGAGAAATTTCAGAGTTGAACCATGATGATGAGAAATCATTATTAATCACTTAATAATATGTTATTAGTCAATGATTGGTTAATTGTTTTTTTTTAATGTTTTTTGTTTATTTACTAAAGTGGTTTTCAGCCTTTTTTGGCTTGTGACTTCTTAAAGGTGCCCTGTGAAATTTTCTTGTCAACAAAGTACGAAACGCGTTGTGTGTATCCTTGAGGCCTAACAAACATGGTAAATGCATTTCCTTCCCTCATTAAACACTGAATTATTTACTTTTAAAAAGTCCTGCGTTGTTTATATCCATGTTTGCTAGCTAGCTGTCGATCAGCGTGAAACCATCTGCAGGATTGTGCTTCGTGTTGCTGTGTACTCTTGCATATGCATGTGATACAAGGAGAAAAACAGGGAACCGCTTGCTCCATAGCGCTACTAGTGATCAAAAAATTCATAGGGTACCTAAAATGAGCCAATATTTACTCGTGACCCCTCATCACAGGTTACAAAAAAACATTTTTCTTTCATAAGTAGTTTTATCTGATGGATTTTTAGAGGCTGTTAGTGGTGACAATTTCTATATTTTAAGCAAGAATGAGAGAAAAGTTAATAAAAAACAAACATTTTGTCTTTCTTACCTCTTTAATATTCTTGTGACCCCTCAGATTGTATCTTTAGATCCCCAGCTTGGGAACCACCGGGTTCTCATCTGGTTCCAGATTACAGGATTTTACCTCAGAGAAACCTCCTGCTATATATTTGGTTATTTTTAGATTCAAGATTGTGGTCTCAATTCTCTGAGCTCGAGCCTCAGGCGAGCTTTGTTTTTGGAGTTTCTAGTTGACCGATACAAACACTTTAATTTCTGGCTGAGTGAACCTTTTCTGTGCTCATATCTCTCTGTAACCTCCTCCTCATGCTGAAAAGAAAAATTAAACAACGAGGGCTGTCCTGCAAATTCAACAGGGCACTTTCTATTGCCCTTCTACTGTCTATTTTCTTTTACTCCGTTTGTGAATCTCATGTGTCTGTGTTTTCTCTCTGATGTGTGTTTGCGTGTGTGTCTGTGGGTGTGTAGGCGATGGAGGTGGAGAGAGCCATGTCCAGTGAGCTGCAGGCTCTAAAGCAGGAGCTCCAACAAAAAGGAAGCCACAACAGGCCACAGGATGAGGAGCTGATCAGTGCCATGAGGGAGCAGGTAACCACCAAATACCAATACATGCACACTCTATATGTAACTGCTAAAAGGATGGTCAAGTAAAATGCTGCTAGTCTTAAGACAGAACGACAAGAATGTTATATACTAAGACTATAAACAGCAAATATTGAAAATTTCACTTTTAAACTATGTTTAGACCAGTTTTTCAGCTGCATAACAATTCATCATATTATATTATATTATATATAAATCACCAATTATTATTGGAATGTTACATCAGACCAATTACAACATTTAAACAGTAATTACTGCAGTAATGTAGCCTACCGTAAATCCACCAACTATTGACAACCTGACAGCTGCCTTAATTAATGTCCACAGAGTCACAGTGTTGTAAAGGACCTGTAGGCTATAGATCTTTTTTTTTTTTTTGTCCTGAGGATGAACCCATGATGTACAGAGATCTCTGTCCTTACATCATTGAAAGATGTCACGTTAAATATTGGGTAACACACTAATAACTTATTATAACTAATATCTAACCAGGATTTATATGTTTCTTAAAATGTAAACTTTTGCAAATGAATGCATTCCATATGTGCTTTGATATCGACTGTATGAATGAGGAAATGAAACGGTGTGTCAGACAGATGCTTCAGGCTCTGCAGGGTTTGTTGATGAAAACCTGTCAGTTAGCAGGTTAGGTTCACAGAGCTTAAGCTACCTCTCTTTCTGGAATGGAAAACCCAGAGCTTCCCCTCATCTCAGGCTTAACAACAAGTGTTCACTAAACCTGCTTTCTGAAACGGGGGCCCTCCTCTGAGATCTGTCTCTTAATAAACACAGCTGGGGAGATTCTGGTAAATGGTTTATGCAACCACTCTTCAGATTTTTCCCTGACGGTGAATAAAGTTTGACAGATAGGCCTATCATTGGTGGATTGATGGGGTGTGATGAAAAGGAATAGTGGGTTCATCTAGCTTTGCTTGCTGCATTCACTTTAGTTCAGTGTCAGTGTTGTTTAAACAGGAAAAGTTTTTGGCTGAGAGTTTTTATTATTTAAGTTTTAAAGAAATAACCTTTCCAGTACATAAAGAACAGAATGCAACACAAGACAAAATCTTACTGTAAAACATTGAAGAAGAGGCAACAGAACAACACTGAGATGGGAAACTCTGAGTTTGCCAGAACAGCTGATCAGAATTAGTTCAATCAACTGAGTATGTTCACTCTGAGTTAAGCGCCTGCATGTAGAATGAGAAAAGCCTCATCAGCCATGGTTACGGTACATATAGAGCAAAAAATTTAATCCTGCAGTGCTAAAAATATGAATGCGTGCCAACACGGACTTGACATTTATCTTTAAAAACAAGAGTGGAGAAAAGAGTCAAAGTTAACACTTACATTTTATTGAGCGTAGCTCATTCATCATTTATCACACTGGAATTTACTTAATGAATGATAAAGTGCTGGAATCGTATACTGTATGTTATATTCAGTGTTTAATAATTTAAGTATATTTATTCAGCTGTAACCTGATGGACAAAATGCCTTGAAGACCGAAGGATGGATCAAACAGACAGAAATAGTTTAGTCATGGACCTATGATTGTAAAGTCATAGTCCGACACAGTAATAATGCTTTTGGTGATTTGCCATTGAAAATGTGTGTAGGTTCAAACTAACTGTTCATTTTTAGACATTTAAAAAATCTCGCTCATTTCGCTTTTAATGAAATACTGTCAAAACACATTATGACTATAAGCAGCTAATATTCAAATACTCACTTTTATACTATGTTTGGACCAATTTTAAAAGTAATTTAAGCTGACAACAATGATCCTAATTAACATCTCCAACATAACAACTAGCCTATGATAGGAATGTCCCATCAGACTAATTACAACATTTAAACAGTAATTAGTGCAGTAATGTAGCCTATGGTAAATTTGTCATTGCAACTGTCAACAACCTGACAGTTTACTCGATTAATGTCTACAGAGTCTATTCTGTGCTGAGGATGAATAAACGATCTCCAGAGATTCATCTGTAATCTGTCCTTACATCGATGACAGATTAAACATAAAAGCAGTCACGTTAAAGTCATCATGTCTGGGTAACAGATACTCGTTATGTATATTATAATTTTATTATAATTCACATCTTCCCGCGATTTATATGTTTCGTTTGTTGATGTAAAACGTGTCTGCGAACAGTTTAGGTAGTATAAGCTACCTCTCTTTCTGGAACAGAGCTTTCCTTATCTCAGGCTTAACAAACTCAGAGATTTCTTCAAAGGATACTTCCCACATAAAATGATGTAAAAACGTGCTTTATTTTTATACTTTCACAGTTAAATTCAGAGAAAGAGAGAAATTTTTGCGGCACCTCTCCAAACGCTGACAGATAACAACATTGGTGGATTGGTGGGCTGTGATGCAAGGGCACATGGGGAGTTAATACGAGAAGACAGAACTTTTCAATTATATTTAAGATCTGTGTTTGTGTTTTTTGTTTTTCAGGTGTTGCGTCTCACCCAGAAGGAACAGGGGCTGGAGGAGCGTTTGGAGAGCGTGTGTCAAGAAAACACAGCGCTGAGGGCAAGTTTAGCCTCTTTACACGCACGCCTGGCTCTGGATGACCAACTCAAGCAGCAGCACAGCCAGCAGGTACATATACAAAACATTACATGCTTGTGCTGAAACACACACAGACAGGCAAACACAGAAAAGACAGCACAAAACAGCTCAGTGCGGTCAGTTGTGTATGAATGAAAGAGCCTCAATAAAAGGGATTTTCTGCTCCCAGCCTGGGTTTCGGCTTGGCTTGTGGAAAGCATAGCTAAACAATCACCTCATCCCCGTCATTGTAACATTCACTCGCAATTCTGGATTCCACTCGTGTTCATTTAGTTTCATGTTGGGCTGGAGGCTGGAATCTGGCATGTCAGGATTTCTGAATTGAAGGCTAGTGGGAAGTTGTGTCTCATGACAACTTTTTAAAAAGCACACATGCTCATAGGTAAAAGGACCCAACATTATATCTCTGTTCATCATCATCAGTATAATCTGAGGGTCATGGGTAAAAGCATTTTTTTCTGATTAAATCTATCTCTCTTTGTTTTTAATCGGTATAATCTGAGAATTCGTAATGTTTTTTTATCCCAATCTCTATCAATTGTTGTAGTTGTCGCTCACCTCAGACTGACGTCAGTGCCTGGGGGTTTTGTCTCTATCTTCATGTGTGTCTAAAAGAATGCCATGATCATTTGTGTCAAAGGCAGCACTTAAGTCGAGCAGCACCATAATTGAGCACCTGCCTGCGTCACAGTTCATTAAAAGATCATTAGTGACTCTGAGAAGAGCTGTCTCCGTGCTGTGATGCTGACGAAAGATGCTGTTGTTTTCCACAGCAGCAAGAAGCCTCTTAGAAACACTTTTTTCAAGAATCTTTAAAATAAAATACAGTTTAGAGATCGGATGAAGGTAGAATCTAACTCAGGTTTTGTTAGGACTGGTTGGACACAAGCAGTAATCCGGAATACGGACACCAGTAGACAGCAAGCTGTTCAAAACAGTTAGCAAATGGGGTCCAATACAATTCATAACTTCAAATAAAAACTTAGTTGGGATTATGTCAAGAGGGCTGGAGACACTTGTACTCACACCACCTTGTGTTTTCAGATAGCTGAGGCATGGCAGGAGGTGGAAGCGGCACGGAGTCGCTCACAGCAGCTACAGGCCCAGGTGGAAGAGCTTCAGGAGGAGGTGTCCCTGCAGGAAGCCAGGAGCCACGGAGATGCCTCCCTGCTGTCCGAGCTGGAGATCAGCTTGGAGACGGCAGCGCTGGGAGTCAGCAAAGACGAGGTACTAAAGCCACAGGACTCGAGCAGATTACTCTTAAGCACAATCATACTACAGTGTTTTAAATCATTAAGCCACAACATGAGAAAGATTTGACTGATGCAGAACTGCCAAATATACATTTGTATAACATTAAGAACTTTCACAAGCACCAAAAAAGGATACATGATTTATGAGTAATTGTGTTCTTAGATAGAAAAAGGTTGTAGCTGGGAGGCTTGAATTGTAGTAATGAGCTTGTGAATCATTCAGTCAGGCTCATTTGAGAATTATGGCAAAAAAATTAACATTAAATTTAGGGGAACTTCATCTAGTTAGAAAGAAGTGAGATACCAGACCTCTGTAGTCCCTGCCCCCCATCTCTGCTTGAGGCTAGCAGCTCAAGGCTACATTAGCCGCTACTAGCATAACGCACCTGAATCGCCGACTGAACTGACCGACTGTGGTAAAGTTGCATTATGATAATGTAGGCGGCAGGTTTTGACATGGAATAAAAAATACAACATCCCTGGTTCTTCTGCATCAATTTTGATCTTTTTTTCCCTCCAAATTGTCCAATCTGAGTGCGACAGTGTTACACAAGTGCAATGCTAAATCAGTGGACTACTCTTTAAGGGACATGCTGTTTCAACCAAGAACCAGCTTTATTTATATATATCTGTGGGGTATACATAAGACGTTAACATAAGATGATATAATGACATAAAACATTAATCATAAAACAGGCATTCCTGTCTTCTGTTGTCCCTAAAATGTTTCTCCATTGATTTTTCCAGAAAATATATATTAATGCTGCGCATAACATAATGCCCTATATATCAATATCACGACATAGAGTTACAGTGATAAAGGATCAAACACTCCTAGCAGAACTAAGAGTAGAAAATAGTTTCCATTTGTTCTCAAAACACAGTTACTGTAAATTACTGTAAATGTTTCAGACTAATTATGCAAAATGAAAGTAAGCGTAAGTAGTACTTTATTTGAACAATACAACAAACACAGCCAGCCTTAACTATGTGACAAAGAGGCTGTAAAAAAAACTAAGCACTGTACGTTAACTGATAGAAACACCAGAATCCTTTACTTTGGGACTGGTCCTGAATTCCGTAAGTTTTGAGGTGAAAATGTTTTCCCGTGATGACTGGAAACAAGAATATTAAACAAAGTCTTTCTAGAAAGACGTGTATCGTGAGATACCACAAGAACGGCACCAGAGAAACGTTATCTGTAAGTTGTTGTTGTAGCTAAAGTACAGTACTCTCTGCAGATGCAGAGAGGAACAGACAGTTCTCCGTGACAGTGTGACTTGTGTTGGAAGCAAGGACACACGAGGGGAAGGTGTGAAGTCCCTGATTTTTAAAGTGAAGACACACAAAGATATATTAGATATTGCTTGTCATAGGAGAGAAGTTTTGTTTGACTTACAGTGAAGCCAAGTCCTCTAATTCTCTCACTCTGGTTGTCTACTGTAATTGTTTTGTTCCAGCAGGAAAATGACATAAAACTGTACTTGTCAGTGACTCACAACATTTCCTGTTTGTCACATTGTAGGAGGGTTTCCTGGTTTCATAGCTTTCAGCAAATGTATACAGCTGTGTCTGTGTACAGTAATGGGTTACTTTTCAATAAAACACCTAAATTATTAGCTCCTTTAACAAATATACAGTTTCAACCTTCAAGCTAGACCAATTATTTTATAGAGTAACTCAGCACTTTAAACGAAAGTTAATAAGTACATTGACACTGTGAAAGTCATAAATAACATAAATCAACATGCCTCCTTTGCTGTTGTGCTTAGATAAAGCAAGAAATGGGCTCCATCCTTCAGTTACTGCTCCCGCTGACCCAGGAACTGAGCGGCTCAGGGAGCTCAAAGGACATGGACCTGCAGGCCATGCTGCATGAGTTGAAGGGAGTGGCCCAAACCCTGGCACAGGCATCTAGCCCTCAGGTGAGCGATACTCGCGCAAAATAAACAACTGACACAAGAGAGAAAATGCGAAACAAAAGGCTGACCTTGTTGCTTGAAATCAAAGGAGGACAGGAATATTACACTGTAAAGCAAAGGAAAGCAAGTTTATTTACATTGCACAATTCGTACATAGAAGCAATTCAGTGTGCTTTACATTGAAATGAGCAAAAAAGAAATATAACAAAAAAAAGTAGAAGGTACATGGAATAAAAACATCAACTTAAAATTAAGTAATATAATTAAAAATATATTACTAAAAGGATGATAAATAAATCAGAAGTAGAATTAAAAATCGGGACATAATAGCATGTAGCATGTTATAAGTAACTAATTTAATTACACAGTTACATTTATTTTGGAATTAAATTATGTAACTAACTTACATGTACTTCCCAACACTTATTAGTTGTATGCTTTTTAAAAAGATTTATTTTTTGTATTCATCTATTGCAGCACACTTGTTGTTGCACCATTGAAATGTAGGTTTTTAATAATCCAGAAAATGACAACTGTACTAAAAGTGAAATAACTACCCCACTTCGTGAAGTCATGGATCAAGAAAGTAGCCTACTCACACACCACACTTGTAAATTTCTTCACAGACCCCCTAGTGGCTGTTAGAGGCACCATAAGGTCAACACACTGAACCATCCGGAGGAACTGTGTGCAATGGATGCCAATGAATTGTTGCAGTTGATAGCTTCTATGCTTCGCTGAGCCTTTGTTTGCCACAAGCGAGCGCATACAATTGTCCAGTTGTATCTGATGGTGTTTGTATTCCATACAGACCAGTAATACGCGTTTATGACTGTAACTAAATAATGAAATATTCCTGCACCATCCCCTTCCCCCCTCGGAGCATCATGAAAATACACCGCCACAGAAATTGCTTCTGGTGTAAATCTCTGTAAAATGAATGGCCGTCATCTGATCTCTATGTCAATGTCTCCATCACAGGAGCTGAATCAAGCTTTTGTCGCCAGGACAGGTGATCAGTGTGGGAATCCGAGAGCAGCACAGGAGCTGAGGGATCAGGTAACCCAGTGATGAACGAACCCCTGTTTCAGAGAGGGACAGAGCACATAGCGGCCTATTATTGTCACTGTCATCCATCTTGGTGTCACACATTCACTGACCTCCTGTTTTACTGGAGCTTTTTTGATTCTTTTTCACCTCAATCTTACACCTTGCTACCTGCTTTAAGTGGCAAAATTAATGTAGTGCATGATTTACAAAGGTTTCTTTTGTTTTAAACTCATAAAGACATACATACATTTTTCACTTTGAATCATTGCCATAGCTTTTCAAAATGTTTGCCCTAAATCAAGTGTTTTGTCAAGTACAACATCTGAATTAGTTTATTCCCAAATTAAATTAAAATAAATGTCTTCATTTTATCATCACATTTTTTGTGATAAATTGCAACTTCAGTCATTTTCACATTAGTACAACACATCTTTCTTCTCCTCTAAGCACTAACAACACTGTTAAGTACAAAATTCAGTTTTCCAAACCCAAATTGCCTCTTACAGGGTACAAGGTACAGATGAATCCAAAGATTAAAAGTTATGAAATAGACATTTTAACTGGAACATTTAATAGTCCTTTGAAGCCAGAAACCACTTTAGTGCAACAACAATGTCTTTATTTTTGACAACAGATATACACAGTAAGTATTACCCCAGCGGTCTAAACACAGTTAATTTATTCTTCCACCAGAATGTCCTGCTGCAGCAGGAAAATGCTGAGCTGAGGCAGAAGCTGCAGAGCGTACAGGAGCAGGCTGAAGTCGTCCAACAGGCCATCAGAGACCGGGATGAAGCCATAGCCAAGTGAGTAGCTAATTTTCTTCCTCATTAATGTCAATACAAATAATAATATTGATCATATTCACTTCCGTTTCACAGCATTTTTCCATTTGCATTTGCATTTTACAAGAACAGCTATTCTTGAATTTTATTTAAATTTTGGGTTGAATATTAAAGAAAGAAATCAATTAATTACTGTCAGGGGAATAGAGGTGTAATTCATTGTTTTCTTATCGAAAGCTACTCTTGCAGCCAAAGTAAGTTTGAACATGGCATTTTTTATGTATCACTGTGATGTGACTGAAGAGGTTTCATTGCTTCTTGGCAGGAAAAATCTAATGGAGGCAGAGTTGGTGAGAAGTAAAAATGACATGATGTCCCTGAACAACCAGTTATTAGAAGCCATCCAACGTAAACTGGAGCTGTCACAGGAACTGGAGGCCTGGCAGGTGGGGACTCTTTTCTCTATAGACTTTTTTTTGTCCATCCCATCCAGTCTTCTGTATCCTGAACCACTTCATCTTTCATGCTGTCTCTTTGTCACACTGTCTAACTGCCTTTGAATCTGTACATCTCAAGCCCTTAATCAATACATTTGATTCACCCCTTTAAGATCTACATCATAACTGATGAAATATCACTGTTTGAGGCATGATGTCTGCCATTTTAGTGATAATTTGACAAGACAGGAGATGTGTCCTCAGTGGGAGGTCAGGCACAGACCCAGCTATATCTCTGAGCAATGTCAGTTGGGGGGATTTGAACGGCAGGTGTCTCTGTCTACAAGTCCTTCTGCTGCTGAGTCACTATGCCAAGCCTAGCCATCTGCTGGAGGGCCTGATCTCTCGTGTTTTCATGGATGTAATGCAGCTAATATTTCAACCAAAACACAGACTCATTTGCTGGAGAAATCATGTTTGTTGAAGTAGGCCTTTTGCTCCTTAAAGGCAAAAATCATTCACTAAAATGTATTAAATGGTCATTATAATATTGAATTATCCTCGATGACAGTCAAAAATAATCTGTAAAATGAAAAATATTCCTTTGGGATTTCTAATCCAAAATATAAATATGTGTGTGCTGCATGTGTCAAAGACGTGACGACACACAAACATCAGTGTACAAATTTCTTATTTACAGATGGAAGCCGCACAAATGCAGTGATGGGTTCAGAAATAAAAACTGTTAAATATACAGAAATGGACAGGAATATTGACAGGCCATGTACATATCACATGCACTGAGCAGAATAGTTCATGAAAACAGTTCAGGGTAGATCATGGAGGCAGTACAATCACACTATCATACTATAATATGGTGTGTTCCGTCTGTCCCATGATTTCTTTTAAAGCCCTCCATGGTTTATAGTTACATATTTCTGACCTTTTTTAACATCTGGTAGGGCAACTAAATGATGTTAAACAAATCCACATTATTATTTTTGTTGTTGTTGTTATTTTTATTTATTTATTTATCTTTTTAACTGCTATGTTAGCTCTAACACCCCTTTGTGTCAGATCAGCTGAATATGCTACATTTTATAAAGCTTTTTCCATTACCTGAAATTCTTGTAGTATTTAATTTGTGTAAATCTGGTTTTGAACGGTGCTATAGAAATAAAGTTTACTTAATGAGACTCTCTTAAAATGTTCTCATTGTCTAATTAAAATTGTCTAATTAATCTCATGAAAATACAAACCAACAATGCGTTAATTTATCTCTCAAGCCTTTACGACTTCTGCAGCCTGTCGGTGGCTGTCAGCTCTGAGTTTCAATTTTTAAAAAGGGTCAGTAGTTTTCTAAAATAGCTGGGCTCTGTGGTTTTTATGAAATGTTATCTAAACAGGAGTTAATTTGATGAGGACTATTTTTACCAAAGGATTCACACACATTTGGTGAACTAGCACCAGTATAATGGTAATGAAGGAACGTGTTACCCATCTCAATGGCGTGTCTTTTATAGTGGAGATCTATGGTACAGAGGAACAAGATACAGCTTATCAGGGTTTGGCTACACAGACAATACTTGTTAGTTTTAATTATATGAGGAACATGAGACACCACACTGAATCCCTGCTCCTCAGACTTCCTGCTCATTTCCTCTTCCTCCCCACCTCTCCTCAGGACGACATCCAGATCATCATCAACCAGCAGCTCAGGTCCCAGCAGCAGTCGGAGCTTTCGCAGAAGAAGTCCACCACCAAAGGCATGTCCTTCTTCCGCAAGCCCAGCAGGACGGCCTCAACCTGGACAAGCCAGTGCTCCTCCTCCTCCCCCTCCCCAAACTGGAGTTCCGACGCTGATCAGGACAAAACTCAGTCCCCCTGGAGAGACTGGTTAAGACGAGGGAAAGGGGCACAGTATGGCAAATGATGGATGGTGAGTGCTATACCTTCCTCCTGAGAGCTGAGGAGAGGATGTGCAAGGAGGATAGGTCAGAGTTCAACATCCTGTACATCCCGCGGTGAAAAGAAGCCATAAAGACACTTTTAATTCAGTGATGAACAACAGAGCCACTACAGACAAAGGCTTGTCAAGCAGACACTTACTTGTACACATTTCACTGAGAGGCTGAGCCTTCCTAAAAACTAAACTGTGACGACCTGGAACACTAGCATTTTCACAGAATTACATTAGAAAGGTTTGATTAAGACTGTAAATATCGTGCCTTATTTTGTAATATCCGTACTATTGTGAATGTCTTTATGTCTGAGGCTTTATATGGTATACATGAGAAGTGTAGATCAGCAGAGAGTATTTGTTCAGATTACTGAATTACAGATGATTACAGATTAAAGAGTACAGTCAGGGAATAAACGATCAAATAGTTAATTTGTAATCGTATTGCAGTTTGTCTTTACATACCAAGTTGGATGGTGAGAAGATGCATTTTGCTCAAAAGCTAACTATGTAAACATGTTGATTGTATAAGAAACGCTGCATGTTTTCATGTACACTGAAAAAGCTGTTATTTTTATAAGTTTGTTTTGGTTTTTAGTAAAACCAAATATGTTCTCTGAATATTGACTTGGTGTGGTATGTGTCAGTCATGTATGTATATTATGTGACTCAGTGTTCAATATTAAAGCTGCTTAGTACAAACCCTAATGTGTCTGACTGACCACGTCTGTAATGATTGCAGGATAATCCATAAAACATCAAATAATCCTCTCAGGTTTTTGTGTTTTTGACTTTTTGTGTTCAGGATGTTAATATGATAAACTGAAAAGGGTAAAATCAGCCAGCTAACAACACATCTGAACAAGCTAAGTGCTCCACCAGCAACAAGAAACACTTAATGATGAGTGAGGCTACCTTGGGCAGCAGTATCTCAGTCCGTGGGGACTTGGTTTGGGAACCAGAAGGCAAGCATCATCCCCAAATTGCATATCTATGGGTAGTGTGTGCATGTTTTTGAAAAAGTGATTAAAAAAAAAAATATATATATATATTAATTAAGTCATTCTTATAGAGATATTTTGTTAGAAAACTTCTTAATTCAGAGCAACAATTATTCACTAAAGCGGGAAAAAATTGCAGCAATCAAACTTAACATGTTTAAAGTAAAATTAAAGGGCTCCACAAAAGGTGATTAAAACTGCTCAGAAGATCGTTGGTACCCATCTCCCGAGCATCAGTGATAGCAATGAGGTGAGGTGCCTACGCTGAGCCAAAAGGATGCTAAAAGACAGCACCCACCCTGTACCCACCCCAGCCAATGCCGGTTCACCCTGCTGCCTTCTGGGAAAAGCTACAGTGTCTGCGGCACCACCAGACATTTTCCCCCAAGCTATCAGACTTTTAAACCCAGATTCATCCTCAGCACTGCTCCACTGAATATACTTAATTTTTGTCTACCATTTTTATGATTGCTGTTGTATTACTGCTACGTAGCGGACAATATACAGTAATACAACAGCAATCATGAAAACTGAGACAGCTTCGGCCCAGTTCGTCAAGAGACAGGGTCAGAGATGCAGTCTGCTGCTGCCCTCTGCTGACGGTCAGCAAACATCACACAGCTTAGCGGATGTAGCTGAAATGTCATCTGTCAAACAGCCAGTGCAGTCTCACATTTGAGATAAACAAAGAACGAAATGCTGTTCAACAAACTATACTTATTGAGCTTGGAATACATGTGTTGGCAAGTCTTCTTCTTCTTCTGTCACTAAATTAAGTTTTTAACCAGGACCAGAAATTAAGATAATTTAGCTTGGATGAACTGCTCATCCTGTTGTGCATGGTGCATTTTTAACGAACTAAGTCTGTATCTCCCAACCAAAATATTATTCAAATATTCTTTAAAATGTACATGCACTGTTTTTTTTTTTTTTGTTTGTTCTCCCACATATTTATTGTAAATCTGGTTTAAACCAAACATGGTAAATATCAGAATGTTCACTACCTTTAACGCTGTCACACAGAGAGGTTGTTTATTAACCCGTTTTAGACAATGTTTTCATATTTTGTTTTTAAAAAAGTTACCCAGCAAAAGAATACTCTCCGTCTCATTTTGATGACGTTTACAATTTCAATTTACTGAGGTACTGCTCCTGGTTTCGTAGAAGCAATTATTAAAATCAAAAAAAGACACTTCAAACAGGTACGACAGCCCTCTTTATTGTTTGTATACATTATGTAGACTGATAATACACAAAATCAATATAACAGTTTATAAATTCAATGCTGAAATACAGTCGTGGTTACCCCATGAAAGCTAGCTAGCTAACTAGCTAACTAGCACTGATGCAAGACGGTCAGTGCTACCAGCCTCCTAGCTAGTTAGCTAACCAGCGTCAAGTAGCTAAAGCCGCTACTAAATTGCTTAATGTGTGACATGACAATTTAAATAGCGCAGTTGTGGCTATCTGGAAAGATAGCTCAATAAAGTAACACGAGTTAGTATCGGTAAGGACTGATGGGTAACCCTGACAACACATTGCAGCGGTAAATCGCTGTCCGGTGAACTTAATGACAGTCAGTCCATACTGTACTATACTGCTCCATATGTTCGCTTTGACGACCTGTAAGCAGGTGTAGTTGTTTTATTAATTAACAGTTTTCTGAATGTCATGCCAAAAAGTTTATATCCTCGTCACAAGCGGTTTCTCATAGTCAACAAAACATATTTGTCTGCCATAACATGCCCCGTGTTATCTTAGCATGTTATGTTAGATTCCTAACATATTCTAACGGGCGCGAAGGATACAAGGTACATTCATTTACAGGGTTGTAACCAAGAGATGCAGTTTGAAGTTCCCTTTATGCTACAAAAAGCAAATGATATACACAAAATTATGAGATGATATACAGAAATAAACTATTATGCGTGGTGCAGTGCTGAGGATGGGGAAGAGCAGATACCAGATCTCTTTCAACACTTGATGCCAAACAGTGGATCGCCTAACAAATTTGAGGTAGAACATTCAAAACAATTATGATAAAATCTTTTTTTCAACAAATATGATGAGTAAAATTAAGTAAAGTCTTTTTTTCAGTCCCTTTTACTCAACAAAATAAATAACTTGTGGTTGGTGATGTTTCCAGTCGGGATGCTTTCTTAGTGCTCCTCTGTAAAAGTTGATAAGAACTTGGCATAGAAATTTAGCCTTCTTAGGATTCCTTAAAAAATACATCATCAAGATCAAGATCATATGCCTGATCTTGTTCACTGACAAAGAGGTCACATTCATGTGAGTCCCTTGACATATCGGCATACTTGGAACCATAAAATAGACAAACAGTCAATATTAAACTTTCAAAGTCAGAGGGGGAAAGCATAGTGTAAATAAAGAGTGAAAACAGTAGGATCAGACAAGAAAAGAAGGCCTTTAAATTAAATTCGAAGTTGGTACGGTGAGACGTAGAGTTAGAAGTAAAGAGGATGTACTAATGATCAGACTGAAATTAGGACAAAGTCTATCTAAATCTAAACTTTACTTTATTGGAAAAAACATCCAGCAGTTTATTGTGTTCAGTGTCAAGACATAGAAACAGTAGGATGTGTCATAACATGCAGAAAATATGATATACATAGACAGGAAATGCTTGCAGAATTTGCATAGATGAGGACTAGATGAGACTGGTATAAAAAGGTAAATTGTGGAGGTAGTGGAGAGGGTAGAAGACGACTTTAGATTTTTGAGGACAACTGGACTGATTAAACGACTGCAGGAACTGGGCAATGAGGGACATTAAACCTCTGACGCAGTTATGCAACATCAAGGATGCCAGCTGCCTTAAAACCTCAAAGAAGAAGAGGAAGATACCCTACTCATCTTTAACTACTTGTAACGCTGATTTTAATCACAATAAAAATAGACACACTTTCCGGTTAATTTGAATGAAGTGATCTCTGTAAGAGTGCGGTGATGATGATAATAAAGGGACAATGATGATAATGATTTCATGAGTGGAAATATACTGTACATGTGCAGTTATGCCTTACTTGTAAGTCTTGTTCTATTGCCACTTAGTTGTTGTGTCTGCATTGCTCCTTAAGGCTGGGATCTTGGATGGAGTGATTGTTGAGCCCCAGTGAGATGACTGACCAGGGCAACAACAACCAAAACATCTCCTGCAACCCCTTCGCGGCTCTCTTCAGCTCACTGGCTGATGCTAAGCAGTTTGCATCAGGCCAGAAATCAGAACAACTGTCTGCAGAACCACCATGTGAGTTATCACAGCCACTGCAGCCCTCTAATAAGAAGTATCGTCAGTGCCTATGTGGACTGGATTTTGATCAGTCATAATGCATGTAGTAATAATGCAGTTCATAACAAAATGCATGTAAATACATAAATAATAAAGGCCATACTAACATCTGGCTTAAATGTATCCACATGGCTTCACACTTACCCTCTGTGTCTTGTATCACAGTGGAGGACTCAGGAGAGAGCCAGTCAGAGTCAGAAAACTCTGTGTCAGACAGCGTTGATGACAATGACGACTCAGTGGCAGAGATCAGCCGCTCTTTCCGCTCCCGGCAGGAGCTGTGCGAACAGCTCAATGTCAATCACATGATCCAGCGTATATTTCTCATGACTCTGGACAACAGTAAGTAAAGTTTTATCTGTAACTTATATCGTCTTTATACAGCAGAAGTGTGTAGGATAGGATAACATCTGTTTTTTGGGTGAGAAAAATACCTATACTGAGATTAACTCAGCTGTAGGTGTCAAATTGTGTCTGATTGTTATATGTTTTGTTTGGTCAGTGACTGACTTGGGTCTTCGTCTAGTTTCAGGTTTATAAATGTGTCCACAGATTAAAGGTGTGACAAACAAGTGGTGTATAGTTTGTTGAAAGATACCTGATTACTGTGTAGCATGTAGAAGACCTTCCACAGGATTTGTTGTTTTACAACAATGAAATGTAAGTTTAGCCCCTTCATGCAACACACAGAACATATATACAACTATTTAAATTTGAAATATAATAAATAAACCAATATAAACAGTTTTAACATACATTTAAGCATACACATATACATCCAGAAAGTCTGTAGCACATTTTCTGAATTTGTGTCTGTAAACAGCAGCAACAAAATAGTGTTGACAATATGGTCAGCAACTTAACATTAAACTCGACATCTGGGATACGTTGTCCATCAGCTGTGATTACATTTTAGCACCAAGCATCATTGATAAACACAGAGTCTGTCTCTCTCTCTGTGGTCTTGCCTTAGTCTTGCATTTTGACGGTGCAGAACACTGGACAGTAAAAGTAGTCACTATGTTGGGTTTTTTAACACTGGAAATTCACCATGGTAGACAGTAGAGAGGATCTACAGTAGTAAACAGTAGTATTTTCTGTAATATCTAGTTAACTTATTGTTTCTGTAGGTTATAATAAGCCAGCAGTAGCTCTATAGTAACTGTAGTTTTTGTAGTAACAAGTCTTCAACCTTTCATACAAAAGCTGACCAGTGTGAGAAGCGACACTGCTGTCAGTGCATCCTGACCGAATCTGTCAGAGTGTTTGGAGATTTAAATAATCAATGAAGTTATGCTGCTTAGCATTGTGTGTAAATGTGCACAGAGTCTTACTTGGGGATCATTTTACTGTTGGAATGATGAGTCCTTTAAATAGCAGGAAAATACTGTGCAATTGACTTTTGGCCTGATTTTTGTTCGTCAGTGGCACAATTGCTTTCTGCTGCCTCAAGATAGCAAGGCGCCTGACCACATCTCATTTTAAGGCCGACACTGCCATGGTCACACAGATGGGCGCAAGTACATTTGCAACTTACACAACGTGGGCGCTGGGTGTGAAAATGAGAATTGTGTCGGTTGGAAACTAGCAACAACACTTGCTCTGCGCTTTGCGCTGTTTGTGTCAGCCAGGTGGAGGTTACAGAATCAGGTCAGATAAACCATGTTGACACTTACATTACCAGCAAACCACTTTTCCCTATGGTCAAGTACCCAATCTAGGGAAAGGACCTTAGACGGACAGACAGGTGTGTGGTCCAACTGTGTTGTACCTGAATAGTAGCATAATCTGTCAGTTGTGTTGTTTGTGGTATTGTTGGATGGTGCTAGCTGTCTTCAAAGTCAAATTTTAAGTTTCCAGTATGTACTGCAACAAATGACTCACCACGCTTCAGAACAATACAAAGACATTGCACACTAAAAGGTCTTGCTGTGAAATCTCTGTGAGACTATGAGTCTTTTTCCCACCGAGACCGCTTAAGGGTGAGTCACAGTGCTCAGGAAATGCAGGTTAAAAGCCCCCCCCCCCCCCCACACCGTTTTCACACAGAGCCCTAATGAATTCCTCTGCCACCTCAGTTTGAAATAAATCAGAGGTTTTCAGCAATACATACTGTGCATTTAATCATTCAATAATAAAAGTCTTATTTATTCTGATGTTGATGTTAATGCTGTTGGTTTATTTTCCAAGTCCTGCTTGGCTTGGTTTAAGCTTCACAGGTTGTTCTGTGCAATATGATTTGAGCAGACTATTTAATGGACCCTGGTTTTATTCTCACCCGTAGGTGACCCCAGTCTGAGAGGAGGTAATGGGATCCCTCCTCGTTGTGTTTACCTGGAAGAGATGGCTGCAGATCTGGATGGACAGGACTGGCTGGACATGGACAACATAGAACAGGTCAGCAACATGTTGTTATGTCATCACTCTATTATTCCCATGTCTTGTTTCTCTCCATTCAATAAGCCTCTAAATGTTTGGTACAACTGGTGTCCTCCAGGCTCTGTTTAACCGTCTGCTGCTGCCAGAGCCAGGAAACCTCCTCATCTACATGACGTCATGCAGCGCTGTTAACCTGTCTGCTGACCGTGATGCTGGAGAGAAGTGTGCAATCCCTTACCTTTTTGCTTGTTACCAAAGGGCCAAAGAAGAGGTGCGATTGTAGGACAAATTTTAGCACTAATGAAACTATGTTCAGAGATTGCGTGCTGTTAATAGACAATTCTCGGTTATTGGAACAGAAAAAATAACCACTTCTCTTCCATAATTCAGTGACTTGATTATCTGTGCACTAGGTGACAAAGGTACCAGAGAAATTACTGCCCTTTGCTCTCCGCTGTAAGAACCTGACAGTTTCTAACACACGGACAGTTCTGCTCACCCCGGAGATCTACATCAGCCAGAATGTCTACGAACAGCTTCTTGACCTTCTGCTGGAAGCTTTCAGCAGAGCACGTATGTTCAGGATGCCAGTTTTGGCCCGACAGTTTCCTTTCTTTCATGTATTTGTTGCCTCCCTGCCTCTCACTTTTTGTCTTGTTATTTTTCTTGTTGTCTTTAGTAAAGCTTTGCCTAGAGTTTTCTCTTCTCAGTTCCTTATGCAGTCACTGTGTTTCAGAACCAGAGGAGGTGATAGAGTTTGTGGAAGAAGTCATTGCTGGCCTACTCTCCGACCAGGAGGTGCGTACCTTCGCGGAGGTGATAGTGCCAGTGTTTGATATCTTCCAGGGACGCATCAAAGATTTGGACCTGTGCCAGCCTCTCCTCTACTTCTACCTAGAAGTTCTGCTCTATTTCAGCCACAATAAAGAGACTGCCAAGGTCAGAAGACACATAAATTTGCATACTTACGACAGCTGTTTCATTTCAGTGCTCACTACTCTAGTACAATAATATACAGTAATCATAGAATTATAGATATGCTGTACATTTCACAGTGCTACGTAAAGCTGTCTTTGTTTTTTTAGTGTCCTTAACTTGTCAAATTTTTCTTTTTGGTTTTCTAGGTATTGGTAGAACACATTCAGCCCAAAGACCCAGCTAATGGTTTACAGTACCAGAAGAGCCTACTGGGGGCAGTGTTGAGTATCTCCTGCTTATTAAAAAACCCAGGTGTGGTGGAGGGACATCGCTACTTCCTGAACCCCTCCCGCTCCAGTGCCCAGGAGACAAAGGTCCAGGAGGCCAACATCCACCAGGTAAACAGATTCAGTTTGATGTTGCTGTTGTTTGTTGTTACTGATTGTAAAATTACGCACATCTCAGGGCTAATGATCTGTACTCCCCTTGTGTCGCAGTTTATGGGCCAGTTTCATGACAAGTTGCACCAGATCTTTAAAAACCTGCTCCAGCGATCTGGTGAGACACGCCACTTGCTGCTCTCGTGGTTGGGCAGCTGTCTGCAGGCTAACGCCGGCCGGGCCAAGATCTGGGCCAATCAGATGCCAGAGATCTTCCAGATGTATGCGTCAGATGCGTTCTTCTTAAACTTGGGTGCAGCGCTGCTGAAGCTGTGCCAGCCCTTTTGCAGGCCTCGGTCGCCCAAACTGCTCACTTTCAACCCTACCTACTGCTCCCTTAAAGAGCTGAGCGAAGAGGAGAGGCGCAATCGCAATGTGCACGCAAGAGGTTAAGATATGTGAAAATGAGTGTCTATAAACTTTCTCTTTAACCATTTAGAATACATTATCAGTATTAATACAGCAGTTCTGGTATGTGTGTTGCTCTTACAAGTGGGTTTACAGCTTTTTTACAGCAGTTTTTTAATAGCAGTAGGATTTTCCAAGAGTATACATTAAATTTCATGACTAAATGATCTCCTGTGTCTGTTAACAGGTCTCGACAAGGAAACCTGTCTGATCCCTCTGCCCCCTCAGCAGGCGGTGGAGTCTGCGCAGTCCTACAGCTTGCTGACTGAAAACCTTGTCCTCACACAACTCACCCTGCATCTTGGCTTCCATAGGTACTTACCTTCAAACAAGCACCAACATAACTTCCATGAAGACTTTAGTGTTTGTTTAATAGATCCTAGAGAAATGTAGTCTGTATGTTCCTCATGTTAGCACTGTATGTCTGCATTAACCCGTGTTGTCTTTGTTTTGTTTGTGTCCATGAATCTGTGTGCATGTGCAGACTCCATGAGCAGATGGTGAAGATGAACCAGAGTCTCCACCGGCTCCAGGTGACGTGGCAGGAGGCCCAGCGAACAGGCAACCCAATGTCGGAGCAGCTCCTGGAGCAGTTTGAGCGTCTAATGATTGTTTATCTGTCAACCAAAGCTGCCACTACGCAGCCTGCCATGCTGCAATGCTGCCTTAACCTCCAAGCTTCCACAGGTGCTCTGCTGGTTCAGCTTGGCATGGGAAACCAGGGGCCTGAACATGTAGCACTCAGTTTTCCCCTGCCCCCCCTACAGAATAATATGCTCTGCTATGTACCAGGTACGTCAGAACTTCCACGACAGTACAAATATAATGTAACAGGCTATTTATTATTTTTTGTCGTTCATTGTTATTTGTCGTCTGTTTTGGAGCATGTGAAACAGTGTGTTGCATGATCAATTGTTGCCTCCTCACCTCATAATAACTAATAGAAACATGATTTGAATATAGCAGCCATTTCCACCTGATGTTACGACACCTTGCCAGCATGTAATGATTTATATTTCACCCAATTTTATTGTCAAAATTCAGTTTTTAATAATGTTTGAGTTTATTAAATGCTGCAGGGTTCAGGCTCAGTTCAATTGAAAAATGTAAATTCAAATACTTAATAATAATAATAAATAATAATACTTAAATGTCTTTTTTGTCAGAGTTTTTTGCGGAGATCATGGGAGATTTTTTCATCTTCCTGCGTCGATTTGCAGACGATGTTTTGGAGACGTCTGCAGAAAGTCTGGAGCAGATTCTTAACTTCATCACTGTCTTCATGGGTAACGTAGAGAGGTACATGACTTAATCTATCATATCTGTGATTGAGGTCAGCTGAAATGTAGAAGTATAAGGCCCAGTGGTGCTCAAATGGTGCAGGCCATCTTGGAATTTTTTTCATATATTGCTTCAGTCCCTCCTGTCCTGTATGCACATCAGGATGAAGAACCCTCATTTGAGAGCAAAGCTAGCAGAGGTCTTAGAGGCAGTGATGCCCCACATGGAGCCGGTGGCTCCTGGCGCTGTTCAGCCAATCGTGTTCCAGCGAGAGAGAGTCTTCTGCTCCTATAGACATGCACCTCAGCTGGCCGAGGCCCTCATCACTGTTTTTGTCGACATCGAATTCACAGGTGAATATACAGTACTGGCCACTTTGAATAAAGCCATATTTACTTCCATAGATTGTTTATCAGGTGCTCTAACACTCACAATGTGAAATTAAAGAAAAAGTATTTTCCAGTCAGGTGAAACTGTTCACAGGTTGGATTGTGTGTGAAAACAAATGTGAGTTTTGCAGAACTTTGATAAAGTGAAAACAAATAGAAGGTAGAAATTAATTAATTTGTCTCTCTTTTTTTCCAAGGTGATCCTCATCAGTTTGAACAGAAATTCAACTACAGAAGACCCATGTATCCCATCCTCAAGTACATGTGGGGCAAAGAGAACTATAGAGAGAGTGTCAAGGTAAAACTATTTAGAGATTCTTCATACAAATAAACTTGGATAGTGGTATGATTGATTTTTGCCTTACAAAAACTGTGTGAGTTTGGTGCACTCTTCATGTGATTTGTGGACTGTTAGTGCATCTAATAATCCTCAAAAATCTAATCCTGTCCCAATCATGTTGCTTGCTGTCCCAACAGCTAGAAACAACCTCCATAAATCCCTTTATTTAAGAATATTCTCACCTAAAAATTCACTCACCACTGAAGGCTTAAAAGTAAGTCTGAAAATGTGTTTCCAGACCACATACTGTTGAACTACTGAATAACAATGTTGGTGTTAGATGAACACTGGCAGATGGACAGGTTACATTTCACTCAATGTATTCTGGGCTTAGGCTTGGGCTCCTTGTTCCTACCATCAATAGCTGTAAGTATAAAGGTAAAGACAGAATGAATGTGGGCAAAAACAGGCATGCGTGGTTTACTACCAGGTAATTATGTACTGGGAAACTGTTTTTTATTAAGCAGATTGATCCCAGTGTGCTCTTTATTTAGTGCGACATCTCTTGTTACAGCATTTGGCGAACTATGCATCTGAGAACCTGGAGGCCATGAACCCCCCTCTGTTCCTCAGGTTCCTCAACTTACTGATGAACGATGCCATCTTCCTACTAGATGAGGCCATTCAGGTAAGACTGAGTTAACCATCACACATGCGTGCAAAACTTTACACCAATTTTGACAAATAAGCTTTTCCATTACAGTATTACTATGTAGTGTATAGAGTAAACAGCCATTATGTTTTATTTATTTTCAATTTCAGTTTATTAGCGGATAGCCCCTTGAGATGCAGCATCTTGTTTTCAAGAGGGTCCCAAAAACACACATACATAATACAACAGGAAAAAAATAATAATAATAATAACAATAAAATGAAAAATACAGAGAATACAAATACACAAAATAAATACTCAAAACAATTGAGTTGCTTAGCATCTTACAACCTCACCCCAGACAATGAATACAAGATTTTAAGACACATCATGGTTCAAACCTGTTATAACTGGCACATCAATCTCATTTACCCCATTACACAATCAGGACCCATAACACATGAAAAAGAAATTACAAATTACAAGCAATACTGTAACTAAATTAACACACATTGTTAATTTAATTAAATATAGATCATCTAAATCTGCGAAAAGATGAGATGGGAAAGAGGGAGATTGTTCCAGTCGTAAGTAACTTTATAATGAAAAGCTTTACATCCAGTGGCTGAGAAGATTCTTGGTACAGTAAAGACAAGATATTGCATCTCTAAGTGAATATGTAGAACTACAAGGAACCAAGAGTTCTTTCAGATATGGAGGACAATCGAACCATTTTCACTTCTGTTTGTCTGGTGTTTAGTCATTTTGTTGTTGGGCTCACATGTAACTGGTGGTAATGGTTAGATGGTATGTAAACTTGTGCCAAAAATGTCAAGTAATTAAATCCTCATAAGTGCTAAATCATTTATTATTTTAGCTGTGTTTTTATCTCAGTAATTTTTTTTATTAGCTCAACAAAAGAATAAGACTGATACTCTTATCATCTTCTATTGTAGTACCTGAGTAAAATCAAGATTCTGCAGCTGGAGCGGGATCGAGGCGAGTGGGAAGGCCTGGCCCCCGATGCCCGAAGAGAGAAGGAGTCAAGCCTGCAGATGTTGGGACAGCTGGGCCGCTTCCACAACATCATGTCTAATGAGACCATCGGCACACTGGCCTTCCTCACCTCAGGTCAGGCAGAAAAGATTTGACTCTTCATATCGGTTCATCCATTTAAAGTTTGTCCTCATCCGTGCCGTGGTTTTTTCATTTATCATTTTCCAGAGATCAGGGGGATCTTTGTGCACCCCTTCCTTGCTGAGAGGATCATCTCCATGCTGAACTACTTCCTGCAGCACCTTGTGGGTCCTAAGATGGGCGCCCTTAAAGTCAAGGACTTCAGTGAGTTTGACTTCAAGCCCCAGCAGCTTGTTTCTGACATCTGCACCATCTACCTGAATCTGGGGTATGTTGTGAACATTGCTCTTTGTAGAATTGTTACAGTAGAGAAGAAACTGTAAAAAGTACTTCCTTATGTAACTTGTTTAATCTACTTACTTTATTGGTTCCATATGATCAGGAGAAGGAATACAGTGGAACACTGCTGAGTACGATCACTGCTGAGGTTTCCATTATAAATGTTTGTTTGTGTTTTTGGCAGTGATGAGGAGAATTTTTGTGCTACAGTTCCAAAGGATGGACGATCGTACTCTCCTACCCTCTTCTCCCAAACAGTTAGGGTACTGAAGAAGATAAACAAGCCTGGGGACATGATTGTGGCTTTTGGACTTCTTGCTGACAAAATAAAGGTATCATTTGAGTTAGAAACCAGATATAACACTTGAGTAAATCATTTGTTTTATGAATCTATGCCGTGTTTATGGTGGTGAATATAAATGGAAACACACAAAAGGTTTGTTGTTCGTTGTGCCTCTGTTCTAGTCCCATGCAGACAGGCAGCAGCAGGAAGAGGAGACGTACTCCGATGCCCCAGATGAGTTCTTGGATCCCATCATGTCCACTCTGATGCTGGATCCTGTTCTCCTCCCTTCTTCCAATGTCACAGTTGACCGCTCAACTATAGCAAGGCATCTCCTCAGGTTAGTTAAGTCCTACAAAGCGCCGAAATTCTCTCGAACTGATTGTCATTACTTGGGATATCTGTGTCTTTACTGTAATATATTACTGTACAAATAAACGTGTGAATGAGATGTATACATAAAAGCTTGGTGTGCTGGAGTCAAATACAAAAGCATTTAATCATTGTGTCCTCCTTGCAGTGACCAGACAGACCCTTTCAACCGCAGTCCTCTAACCATGGACCAGATCAGGCCAAACGAGGAACTCAAACAGCAGATCTTGCAGTGGCTGGATAAGCATAAGCAGGAGAGGCTGCAGCTGGGACCCAGTGGCTAGCCGTGATCCCTCGCTACGATAAACATTGACTGCATCGTTGTTTTCTCTCTTGGCTCACATTTTGCGTGCTCCTGTGCTTCTTGGCTAATCCATGGTGTGCTTGCCTCTGTGGATTTCCTCTGACTTCTCCGGTCCGACTAACATTGCATTAGCCTTTTCACGCAGACTTTGTGCTCTGTGGATTCTCTCTGCGCCAAAAGTCCAGGCAAACTGTAGCCCACCGGCTGGTGACAACTTCAAAATCCATGCACAGTAGCTATTTGACTCCCATGATGCCCTACATTAACAATAGTAGGGTGATTCAACCTCTGGTTCCTCTCTCCCTGAATACTATGTATTAATTGGTTATTTTTGGTTATTATTACAATCGGAACTCTGGCCAGACGTTATCAGTTTCAACATGACTTGTTGAATCTATTATACGAACTCTTCACTGACCAGGTTTTATACTGCAAGGTAAGTATTTCTGGGAACTCTTAAGGCAGAACATGGATGGAATTGTTTATGATTTGACCTTGATTTCACATTAAGCTCTGCCTTTTAAAGATCTTAAACACCCTATATTTTAATGCTTTTGGTTGAATCTCAAGCAGAATTGTAAATAAAATTAGCAATTCAGTCAGGCATAGCTCAAACTGAATTTAATTGTGTGTGACTTTATTTTATTGGAAATAATCTAGATTTACTTGGAGATGCTCAAAATCTTTTTCACTGTAATAATACACCTGTAGCACAAAACCATACTGTGAAATCTGCATTTGAACATGTATAGATAAATCTGTGATTCAAGTGCACCTGCCTTTAATGAAGCACTAAATAAAGACCCTGTTAGGATCTGAGAGCTTGCTAATTAATAGGTTGTTGGATATAAGGATTTAAAGTGCTTCAGTCACTATACAATATTTACACAAATTTGAAGCATATTTTGGGATGTAGTACACATTCACACACACATGTAAAATTAAGTCTACCTAAAAATGCCAGAATGCATACTAAAATTATTGTTAAGCGTGCCATTGATAGACACTTATTGCAATGCAGAGTGAAATTGGAGAGGAGCTGCTCACTGCAGTTACCAATCAATACGTATTCACAGTGGGCAAAAGCAGACTCTCTTGAAAAGCAAACAAAGAAATAATGTAGTAATAAAGTGTTAAATCCTTGGGAAAACATTTAACAATTTGTCTCAATGGAAAAATGTAAAATTGTCCCAGATTTGAGAAAGCTCCCTTCAGAGCTAATGATCAACTCTTTTTCACCAGCTGAGTAGTACTCCTAATGTCAAGTAAGTTGATCCCTGTGTGTAAAATCTGTGAATTGCCCCTTTAAGACACTCAGTAGGGATCAAGGGCAGCAGGTGACTGGTCCTGACACAAAAAGGCAAGAAGATACTATTAAAAGGCTGTTTTTGATTTTGCAAACTGGAAAAACACAGTGGCTGTTGTGAAAAAAGTCTGACTGAATAATGGGTAAAAAATACGCCATGCTTCATAATATATCTACAATGCCTAGTTTTAATAAAAATGTAGTGGTGAAAACATTATTTTGCTAAATGAATTGTGGCTTGGTTATCTCCAATAACATTAAAAATCACAATATCATGTCTATTCATATAAACTCCTCATATGACCCTTTTTCTTGAGATTGAACCAAAACAAATGCCAAAATATACAACCATTTTTGCGCGGCAGTGTATATAATAATTTTTGTCATCCTTTGAATTAACATCCATCCATCCATTTGAATAACTATCCTGTATCTGGAGTTTTTGCATAGTGAATTAACGTGGGCAAACAGTTGATCAATAGAATCGGTGCCTAAAACCAAGAGCCTTGCAGTAAATGTCAGCGAATGAGGATCTGACTTGTTTCATACTCTTAAGAGACATAATTATGAGTTTGTTTCTTTAGGGCATACAGGGAGCTGTGGGTAGAATAGAAGGAAAAAGATGACCAGTTTTTTGAGTAGCTTTTTGAATTAATTTAATTCAGAATCACGTGTGGTTGTACAACATGGCAAAATGTGAGAGATGATGTATTTGTTGGCATGCCCGCATACTGTATGTTGAATATCTACCACCTGAATGATTAGATGGGGTTAAATTATAATGCAATATTTTTATTTTAATTGTGATTATAAAATGTTTATTTTGGATGTACAGTATGATTAAGAAATAAAACAAATGTGCGTTATATAAGACATGTTCTCTTTCAGAAATGTCACTGATTTCCGTCCAGAGCAGAACATAATAGCAAGGTACAAGGTGGATTTATTTGTCACAATACAACAGGTTGTAGAGTGAAATTTAGTTTGTAACTCCATTCTGCTACGTAGCAGACAATATACACTAATATCAAAGCAATTATAAAAATGGTAAACGGAAATAAAGTATAGTCAATGGAGCAGAGCTGAGGATGAATTTGAGTTTAAAATTCTTACAGCTTAAGGGAAGGCAGCAGGGTGAACAGGCTGTGGCTGGGTGGGTACTGTCCTTTAGTCTCCTATGGGCTCTGCGTAGGCACCTCACCTCACCGATATCACTGATGCTCAGGAGATGGGTACCAATGATAACTTCTGAGAAGTTTTAATCAACCGCTGCAGAGCCCTCCGGTCCTGGGCCGTGCACATCCCATGCTAGTTTGTGATGTTTTCAGTCAGGATGCTTTCTATTGCTCTTCTGTAAAAGCTGATTAGAACTTGGCACAGGAATTTGGCCTTAAGCTTCCTGAAGAAATACACGCGTATTTGAGCTTTCACCAGCGTGGAGTGAGATGACCATGTCAGGTTGTCTGTGATGCTGATTCCCAGGAACTTAAAACGATTCACCAGCTCCACCGATGTAGACAGGTGTGTCTTTGTCTCCTTTTTGCTAAAATCAACGATCAGCTCCTTGGTGGTGCTGATGCTGAGCAGTAGGTTGTTTTCTGCGCACCACTCATTATCAATTTCCTCCCGATATGATGTGTCATTGTTGTTTGAAATCCGACCGATGATGGTGCTGTCATCCGCAAACTTCACAACAGAGTTCTCTCCATGTCGATTGATGCAGTCCTGGGTGTACAGCGTGAACAGGAGGGGGCTGAGCACGCAGCCCTGGGGGGCTCCGGTGTTGAGAACTAGAGTGGAGGAGATGTGTCCGCCAATCAGAACTGACTGAGGTCTCTTTGTGAAGAAGTCCAATATCCAGTTGCAAAGTGTTGTATTTAAACCCAGAGTGGTGAGTTTGCCGATCAGTTTAATGGTAGAGATTATGTTGAATGCTGAGCTGAAATCTACAAACAGCATTCTGATGTAGGTGTTGTTTTTCTCAAGGTGTGTGAGGGCAGTGGAGATGGCATCCTCTGTGGATCTTTTGGTTCTGAAAGCAAACTGGTGAGGGTTCAGGCTGGCTGGGATGTTGTTCTTTATTTGCCAGTTTCTCAAAGCACTTCATCAGAATGGGGGGCGATCAGTGCCACAGGACGGTAGTCAGACTATAGCCTATCAGTCATGAAATAAAACAAACAGAAAAAAGACACTTTAAAATATTAATGTAGATTATTTATCAGTAACTTATATTTTTGAGTGCCACATTTTCTTTTAGAACAAGGTTGAGTTAAATCTCAAGAATAATCTGAATTTCAGAATATTTTACTTTTCTTCCGGTGTCTTTGTGTAGCACGTCAATCTCAGTTTTAAGCAACTTGTATAGTAGTGATGTCTACATGTCAGGCAATCTCAGCAACTATATGTTAAATAGTGATCAACCAATATGGGTTTGTCAATGGCCGATATTTAAGGCGGCTGATGGTCGATATGCCGATATCAAAACAAAGTCATGTATAATTCCATTATTCCATGCTGACTACAATCTGATCTACGTGGTTTTCTTACATGTTGTTTTAGATGGAAGCTTTATTAATCAATTAAAAAGGGTTAGAAAAGACATAATACATTGAAAGGATACTTTCAAGTAGGCTAAGTTTATTCTACAGATACATTTACATATACATACATACATGCAGGCGAGTCATCAGACATAGTCTGTTACAGTAAGAGATAAACATTGTTCTTTTATATAACTACTTGTCTTTGAAGCATATCATATGTTGTAGCATCTATTTTTGCTTCATTTGTCTTATTGTTACAACTTACCCCAGCATGTGTTACCTTGTTACAACCTACCCCAATCCCGGCGTAGGTTGTAACAAGGAAACACAATGCATTTGACATCAACTCATGAGGTCTGTGATCTTCTTGTTGAGGATTGAACTGGTGCCATTTGTAGTGAACAAATGTGGGTACTAAATGTACAAAAGTTTGAGAACTCTAGCTACAAAATTCAGTGACTTATAGATACTGAAGCAAAACCATACCCGGTCTCCCCTAGGTTCCGTTTATAGTACTGATCCTGTACCAGCATCTCAAAGGGGGAAATAATGATTTCAGATTCTCTTAAAAAGTCCTAAAACGAAAACCGAAACAGATGTATTTGATTTAAATATATATATATCTATATCTATATGTATAGTGCTGATATTATTGTTATTGCATTGGCAACTCTGTGAAGGACCCTAATTGAGTTTGTGTGGTTTGGGTTTAAGAACAGACAATAGTTTCTAGTGCATTGTCAGCTGACAATAAGTACAGTACTTATTAAAAAAACGTGTCAATTTCCTTGTTTAACAAACCGCACCGCAAGCTAACGGTTTCGTCCTTCCTTGTGATTCAAGTGCGACGCTCCTTTCCCGGGCAAAGCCCCTGAACCTGATTTGGATTCAGCCATGCAGAGTTTGAATAGGGTCGCTGAGAAAATGCATTGTCGGGGTTTCTCCAGTTCCGCCCCGCAACATGCATAACGGCGTATCGGCCAGTGAGAGCGGAGCGCTGTGGTTGAGAATGTTTATGTGGAGTGCTGGGTTAGGGTTCCGCCCACCGAGGTATCTCTGATCGCAGGGCAGACAGGCAGAGTGTAAAATGGCGCACAGCTGTCGGTGGCGGTTCCCCGCTCGGCCCGGAGGGAGCAGCAACTCCGGTACCGGGAGGAGAGCGGGCCGAATCAGGGTTACTGCCTCTCTGCGGAGTGTCACGGGAGCCCACCCCAACGCAGCCGGGCTCGGACCCGGGTTTGATGCTGCACTACAGGTCTCTTCGGTTATCGGGAGCAACCTGCAGAAATTTCGGGATGTTTTGGGGGAATCGAGTGACTCGAGCAGCGGGGAGGTAAGCACAGGACAGGACCGGAGCAGCCCGATGGTTCCCCGGGAGCATCTGTTAGACTGGGGAGCCGTTTCTTAACGTTTCGGACGAAGAGCGAAAGGGTTACTCTCTGCCCAAATCATCTTTCCTCTCTCCCTACCGTTAAGTGTGGCTATGAGCAAACTTGTCAATTCCAGGATGCTCAGTTAACTTTGAGTTGGTTGTGTGGCCTTACAACTATCCAATAAACGTGTGTTATAACGTTAACTTTAGTTAGAAACAACGCCAAACTGGTATCAGATGTTTGGTCTCAACAGTCCTGCTGGAAAGAAAGTTTTCTTCTCCTCCTCGGTGGAGTGAGGACAGGCTACATCCACACTAGTTTGGATGCACTGGTGCTAACGTCGGTCTGCTAGCCCCATCAAAACACTGGAGAAACCCTGGTGTTATCTTGTAACTTAAAACATACAAGTGAACACATAGCAGATAATACTGGCACATTAAGTGACGAACGCTCACTGTGTTACTAAGCAGCTACAACAGGTTTAGTGGTTAACGTTAGCTGCTTGACATTAGCTTGACGTGAAGCCTTGTTTCCTTCAAATTCATCAACACAGTAAAAGTTAACGTCCTGTATTAGCATTAATATTAATTCCCTAAGGTAAAATAGTATTTATGGGGTCTGTGTTTATCATAGCGACGTCTCCTCGTGGTGTAATAGCACAGGACCTTCAAGATGTAGCGTGTAATATGTTTGAAAACAAGACATATCAACTTGAAGGAGAGAGGTGAGAGTATTGTGGTTTGTAACTAGCTAACGTGAACTTAGCGTCTGTCTGCAACGTCTCCGAGGAACGGATGTTCATTATTTACACTACGTTTAACCAGATTTATATTGGCAAAGCTTAATACCAGCTAATTAGCTTGGTATCCAACGTTTATAAACATGAGCTCAAGGGGGCTGTCTGTCTGCAGCGAGGTGTCAACCTTTCCGGCGGGGCTCGGCTAACATAGCTGATTGGTTAGCTCGCAGGCTAGCTGTCTACATGTCACTGCTAAAATTACACCATCATTCTTCTATCGTGCGCGGTGTTAAAAGTTCCATGTTCGCTCGTGGATGTTGCAGTGTTTGCCCCCAGCGAGCATATTGCTGAAGTAGCGGGTGAAAGCATCGTAAGAAAAGTTGGCGGAGCTCATACACAAAACTAAATCATTTCCATTGCTGTTTAGTGTTAAGCTAGGACAGCTACCATGCTACGCCACGCTAGCCATTGGGGCTATTGCTGATGCATAGGAAAATGGGAGGTGGACATGTTTTCCCCTTCTCTACACAGCCAGCACGTCGCTAGTACCAAAATAATATCGGGTTTATAATGCTTGGAGATGACGTCTCAAACGCAGCCACATACTAAAAATCACTCTCTTCGCCGTTGAAGTGCTAGTAACAGCATATCGATAGGGTTTGTTGTGTGAATTCGCTTCGTTTTTATCAGAGGACTTCAGGCTTGCTAGTGACAGTGCGCATGAAGGGCTGGCTACAATAACAACGAGCCCCTTCTTGACGGACCGTGTGATGTGGGGGTGTGTTCGCCTTAGCGAACTACCATCTTCCTTCTCCATGATGAGCAGCATGCGTTCATTGCAGTGGGAGTACACTGTGTGGGGATGTTTACCACCAGCTCTAGTGCTCCTAGTATGAGCACAGCTTGTTTGTTTGAAGCACAGCAGTATTTACATGCATATACTAGTTAGGCATTTAGCTCTGTTTCTCAAAAACAAATCTGAACTCATGCTTGAATTTGTACATACATTTTGAATCGTATTTTAAAGGTCATAATAGCTCCTATTATAGTGTAGCAGTCTGACTGATTAATTTTAACATTGGCGTTTCATGATATTCTGGAGAAAAATTCATTTTACTTTTAAATTTTATATTTGTGAGCAAACTGCTTCTGAAGTAACTAGGGGTACCACTGATCTTTTATTCCTAAATACTGACAATTATTGAGTATAGCAGTGTT